TACTGGGTTTTGTTTTGTTTTTTATCGAATGACTAGTTTAAGTATGCGCGAAAGATCCAAAAGAAATAAACACTCCTTTTTGACTGACGAGTGGAGTTTTTTGTTTGCAAGAGAATTTATACTGTTTACCATAATAAGAATTTAACTGCATTTTATTGCACTGCACTACAATGCAATGTCAATCAATAAAATGAAGTCCATTTTTGTTTTACATTATGGTATTGAAAATAAGGTGTAAATTAACATATTTTCTAACATATTTTTATTTTTAAAAAAAGTTTTGAAAAACAGACTGGATGGAATATTTTCATTCACATTTTCTTATATGATTGTTCTCTTTCATACGAATCTAAATTAACAATGCAGTAATAATGTCCAAGGATTTTTCCACAATTTTTTTCATTGCTGTTTATTTTACGCAACGCCTAGTTTGCTGTTTGACCAATGAGTGAATATTTTGAGACTCAAACAAAGCGCCGATGACTTTGTTGAACAATCAAAGACGCTTTTCAATTACTACTTAGCAGTACTTGTTTAGTGAGATAAGCTCACACTAAGTCCTTCACACGTGACATTACCCGTAAAGCTCCAATTTTCGCCGTAAATTATCACAAAAAGGAAGATTAATTAAGTAGATTGTGATTTTTTTAAATCCCACTCATTTCTGTTTAAAATCTTAAAAATCTTTCAGAAAATTCTGGAAACACATTTTTATGACAGGACATGTGTTTAAAAGAAACAGATTATAGCAATTTCCTGTTTACTCCCAATTTTATTTATAAATCCGGTTCTACCCTATAACCTTAGAATGGGTCAACCTACACCACGTGTCTTGAATTTTTCACAATAACATTAGTAGGGGTGACTTAGGTAAACAACAGTGATTTCTATTCATCAATACTTTGTTGAATTTGTACATTTTTCCTGGGGGTAAAAGCCAGGCACGCTACATGTATGTTGAAAATGATATAAATACGCTAAACATTAACAACTTTATACAATACAATTTTCTCAATGTTAAAAAAAATTCCATTTAGTGTAGAGAGGTTTCTTAATTGGTTCAGCAGAGAGAGCGATTGTAAGAAGAAAATTTTTATTTCTTTTAAACCATGAGCGCATATTTAGTATTTGTCTGTTAATATCCTTTTGACACAAAATTAATACAGCAAATATACAACTACATATACTGTTAAACGGAGAACAAAAGACAACCATGCGCTGACTAGTCGGTAAAACAAGAGGCCCATGGGCCACAACGCTCACCTGAGTATCTTTGGCCCTGCGGTTTTCACTAGACTTTGCCCCCTTGTAATACCTTTTGTGGCCCCACCCTACCCCCGGGGGTCATGATTTAAAGAATTTAGAAATTACACTACCCAAGAATACATAATTTCAGCATTTCTGGCCCATTGGTTCTTAAGAAGATTTTGAGATTTTTCCTAATGAATTTCAATGTAAAACTTGGATTCCCTATTGTGGCCCCGCCCTATCCCCGGGGTCAAGATTTTAACAATTTAGAATCTACACTAGCCAAGGATGCTTTCACATAAGTTTCAGTTTTTCTGGCCCAGTGGTTCTTGAGAAGAAGACTTTTAAAGATTTTTTCTGTATATTTCAATGTAAAACTTTGATTCCCTATTGTGGCTCCGCCCTACCCCCGGGGGTAATGATTTTAACAATTTAGAATGTACACTACCCAAGGATGCTTCCACATAAGTTTCAGTTTTTCTGGTCCATTGGTTCTTGAGAAGAAGATTTTTCTATATATTTCAATGTAAAACTTGGATTCCCTATTGTGGCCCCGCCCTACCCCCGGGGGTCATGATTTTAACAATTTAGAATTCACACTACCAAAAGGATGCTTCCACATTAGTTTCAGCTTTTCTGGTCCAGTGGTTCTTGAGAAGAAGATTTTAAAAGATTTTTTTCTATATATTTCAATGTAAAACTTGGATTCCCTATTGTGGCCCCGCCCTACCCCCGGGGGTCATGATTTTGCTTCCACATTAGTTTTAGCTTTTCTGGCCCAGTGGTTCTTGAGAAGAAGATTTTAAAAGATTTTATCTATATATTTCAATGTAAAACTTGGATTCCCTATTGTGGCCCCGCCCTACCCCCGGGGGTAATGATTTTTACAATTAGAATCTACACTACCCCAAGATGCTTCCACATTAGTTTCAGCTTTTCTGGTCCAGTGGTTCTTGAGAAGATTTTAAAAGATTTTTTCTATATATTTCAATGTAAATCTTTGATTCCCTATTGTGGCCCCGCCCTACCCCCGGGGGTCATGATTTTAACAATTTAGACTACAATTTAACTACCCCAAGATGCTTCTACCTAAGTTTAAGCTTTTCTGGCCTCGTGGTTCTTGAGAAGATTTTTTAATGGCCCCACCCTATTTTTGTCATTTCTTGATTAACTCCCCTTGTAAGGGGGTTTGGCCCTTCATTTTAAGAATTTAAACTCCCCTTTACCATGGATGCTTTGTGCTAATTTTGGTTAAAATTGACCCAGTGGTTCTTGAAAAGAAGTTGAAAATGTGAAAAGTTTACAGACGGACGGACAGACGGACAATGAGTGATCAGAAAAGCTCACTTGAGCTCAGGTGAGCTAAAACAGCGTTCCCATTATCATACGGAGATTCAAGAAATTGTGAAACCCCTGCCTTTGAAAACAGATTAATTCCTAAGTACGTTAAGTTATAGGTTGGATTTTGACCATTCTTGCAATTAAAAGAAAAATGCTTGTTTTGAAAGTTTATTTTGTCGCAAATTTTGCTTGTCCTTAAGTGTAGCCATCCTTTCATTCACTTTTAACAATCTTTATGATTTTATACAGGAACTTCCATTTTTAGATCCTTTTATTAAAAAGAATGGATCCTGTATAACCGCAGATTTATACTGTAAACATATGAACACACAAGTATTTGGATTTTAGGTCGTGCTCCCTTCCAACACAAATCGTTAATTTAGCACGAAGAATTTGTATAATTAGAAAAGATAGAACCGTACGTTCTAAATGTTTGGAGGAATTAAAAATATATTTAAGACGACAATACTGTTCGATTGATTTAATCAACTGAAATCTGGAATAGAAAAGGCATCCAAATTTCCAATTACATGTAGTAGAACGCTTAGAAAACTGACACCAAAGACAAAAATAACCTTTGTATGATTGAACCATATTCAACGGAACAGAAATATCTTTATAGACGCTAAAAGATTTTACCTAATTATAGAACAATTGGAAAATATAAAAAGTTTAATACAACCAAATGATATTATCAACAGTCGACGACAAGCACCTAATCTTAAAAAAAATGTTAACCAAAGCTCGCTTTACAACACAGGAGGAAATTCCAACCATTAAAAAAAAAACGCTGCGATCTGCGATGCGGAACTTATATGTATATGTTTAGAAGAGGGAAATAGAATCCAGCATAAAACAGGAATGGAAACTAGAACAAACTCATCAATGAACTGTAAATCGGAAAACGTTATATACTGTGCCATTTGTCCGACATGCAATAGAATACAATGTCAGACAAACGGGGAAATTAATGCCGTTAGTGTACATACAATGTATTCGTGTACATACTAAAACAATGAATTATAAGACCCTAGTGTCCGAAACACACCATTCTGTGATCACTTTGCAAAATGCGAAAGGGGAACATTTAGGATAAATAAAGAAACACTCGGCACACCTCGGCCGATTCGTACCTCATCTTTGATGAAGGTGACGGAATCAGCAGAGGTTTGTCGAATGAAGAAAGAAAGAGAAAGAAAAAAAGAAGACAAATAGATAGATAGAGAGAGAAACAGAACCTTGATGAATTTAAGTTTCACTTGCCATAAGCGCGGAAGCCCATATATCATCTATCTAAAAATATTTTTGTATTAAGGAATGAATTTAATAGCTACCCATTTTAAACTGGTTTGGGACAGTTTACGCTTTATAAACCGCGAAGCTATTAATTTCATTCCTTATACAGTGGACCTTCAGATATCCGGACGCTTCAGTTTCCGGACGATTTTTCATGGGAATGGAATTTTTTAACGTTATTTTGTCTCGTTTAACCGGAATTCCGCGTTCCGTATCCGGACGGTCTTTTTTCACCACGAAATGAATTTTTACGTTATATTTTGGTTCATTTCTCCGGACGATAATTTTTTAACTTGTCTTGATACGTATTAATTAAGGGAAATAATTTTATAAGTCTAGGATAATTTTTTCGTAGTCGGCAAATATATTTCTTTTACTGTTAGAATACAGTCGTAACAATATTTTATGTATTTATAGACATGACATCGGAGTTTTTAATGCACAGTATTGTTTAATTTAATTTTCATTCATTTAGTGTTAAAAAAAAAAAAAGAGGACTGCTCTTGAAAATGACTACAATTTGTACAGAATTTGAATGTAACATCAGGCGGATCGATACGTTTTTGACGCAAGTCATTTTGACGTAGGCAACCCAATTTATACGATATAAATAATAAGTAAATTTTTTATCTAATCAAATACGGCGTTACAACCAGAATTGAATTATTTCGATATAATGAAACTGTCGAATTTGTTAATTTAATTCGTTATTTAAAAAAAAAAATTGGAATTCGTTAAACAAATTTAATCTATTATGCTTTAACTTCAATTCGTTATAACGAATTCAACAAATCTTTTGTAAAAATTTAATTCACTACAGGCGCTGATCCAGGAATTTCTTCCAGATCAACTTCAATCGTAACTCGCAAATCGTAACTTTTAGCTCTTACGTGCTACGCTCAAGCTTACGTCTACGTTTACGAGCTACGACCTGTTAGTGAAACGGTCGCCTGACCTTTCACTTGGGGAAATTTACATTCAGGTTTAATCTAGAAACAACTCACCTAACTTTCAAAGAGTTATTACAGAGAAAACAATGTCAATATATAATACTAGTATACTATAGACGTTCACCTAACTAATTCAAACGTGTATAAATCATGCACATGTACCACTCACAAAGTGATTTATTAAAAGTAACTTTGATTAATTTATATGACGAGAATCCCACAGTAGAATGGGAAATAAGAAAAAATGGAATATATGACTAAACATGAAAAGTTAAGGGGATGAATGTTAACATATACAGGAACTTTCGGAACTGCACTTAATAATGTGTTTGACTCGTTCTCATTTCCTAATGTAATAATTACCAGGAAGAACCAGTTGTTTTCCAAAATTGTACATTAAGTGATCATAGTATTCCAATTTTGCCTTATTTATGGAACAAACATATTTTATACAAATTTTTCCTAGAGCAGATTTTAAATATTAGCTTTTCTGTATAAACAAAATACGTTCGTTACATTTCTACCTTGGTACATGACCTTTCTGCACATATGACATTAGTCTTACAGCTTCAATTTTGCTCATACTGCATTCCTTATGTAAAATATCTATACTAAGTTCACTCAATATTGCACCATCTATCCACTTTTCCTTAAATATGGGAACGTATTTTTCAAGTCCTAATTTCTTTAACATATCGCCTACTTCTTTAATGTCCATCTCATTCACATTTTTTCTTGCATTTTCTACACAAAGATTGCTTCGGACATTGTTTCCTATACCGTCACCACCTCTAGGAGGTAATTTTGGAGTTGTAGTTTCTTCTGATTTCGGAGTGGTTCCAACCTCTTCTTCAATGACGTCATGAAGGTGGGTGGTGCTTTTAACTTTCGTCGAAGTAGAAGTATGTCGTTTCACTTTTCCCTTGCTTGCTGTGTCGCTTCGTTGAGGAACAAATGGTTTGACGTCATCTTCATTTGAGACGTTTGCAACTGTTTTTTGAGCAGTTTGCTCTTTTGAACTTGGCAAAGGTTTCTTTATGTTAGGTTTGGGTGGTATTACTGGTGGTACCTTTTCTCTGACACAGTTAGATATAACATCATAGGTGTCGCATTTTTCCTCAGTTCGACTGGAATCGGGTTTTAAGCCGTGAAGAGTTTGGTACACATTGGTTTCACTAAGGCAGTCATATAACGTACAATATACGTTTGGTACTCGAACAGTTGCATCGAAGTCTTCTGAGTCGTTGTCATAAAGAGCTATGTCTAGACGTAAGTAAAAGTATTAGTTTGCTAGTTTCTGTTATGAGCATTATCACAATTACGTAAGTATTTTTATGCCTCGGGATCGAAAGATCCCGGGGGTATATTGTTTTTGTCCTGTTTTTCTGTTTGTCTGTCAGTCTGTTGTCAACTTTAACCTTGCCCATAACTTTTGATTAGTTGGAGCTATGACTTTCATATTTCACATGTGTATTCCTTGTGACAAGACCTTTCTTTGGGTACCATCATATTTCACCTTTTGACCTTGACCTTGGAGTTTGACCCACTTTTGCAAAATTTTATGAGACTTTAACTTTGGCCATAACTTCTGAACAGTTGGTGCTTGGGGTTTCAAACTTCACATGTATATTTTTTGTGACAAGGCCTTCCTTTGGATACCAACAACTTTGACCTTTTGACCTTGGCCTTGGAGTTTGACTTACTTTTGAAAAACTTTAACCTTGGCCATAACTTTTGAATGGTTGGAGCTAGGGCAATCATACTTCACATATGTAATTCTTGTGACAAGACCTTCCTTTGGATACCAACCACTTTGACCTTTTGACCTTGACCTAGGAGTTTGACCTAATTTTGAAAAACTTTAACCTTGGCTATAACTTTTGAATGGTTGATGCTAGGGCTTTGTTACTTCACATATGTAATCCTTGGGACATAACCTTCCTTCGGATACCAACCACTTTGACCCTTTGACCTTGACATAGGAGTTTGACCTACTTTTGAAAAACTTTAACCTTGACCATGACTTTTGAATGGTTGGAGCTAGGGCAATCATACTTCACATATATAATCCTTGTGACAAGACCTTCCTTTGGATACCAACCACTTTGACCTTTTGACCTTGACCTAGGAGTTTGACCTACTTTTGAAAAACTTTAACCTTGGCCATAACTTTTGAATGGTTGATGCTAGGGCTTTCATACTTCACATATGTAATCCTTGTTACATAACCTTCCTTTGGATACCAACCACTTTGACCCTTTGACCTTGACATAAGAGTTTGACCTACTTTTGAAAAACTTTAATTTTGGCCATACTTCACATATGTTATCCTTGTGACAAGACCTTCCTTTGGATACCAACCACTTTGACCTTGACGTTTTACTTACTTTTAAAAAAAACTATAACCTTCGCCCTAACTTTTGAACATTTGCAGCTAGGTCTTTCAAATTTCACAGGTATATTTCTCCAGACAAGACCTTTCTTTGCGTACCAACGTTTTTTTATCTTTTGGCCTGGATTTTGACTTGCATTTGAGAAACTTTAACCTTCGCCATAAGCTGCCATGCGGGGGCATCAGTGTTTCACAAACACATTTTGTTATTTAATTTTTTTGAAAATTTAATTTTTACATAAATTTGGTTTCAATTAAGGCTGATATATATAGTAAGCCAAAAAGTACCTGGGTTTCCAAAATAACTGTCGCAATTTATTTGTGTGTCACAAATTTCACTTAAGTTGTGGATATAACTGTCCCATTCCTGTTTCTCATAACCCGTTCTCCCCACCACCAACGATATCCTCATTTCTGTAAGGTACAGGGGGAGCTTCTGGATTATGGACGTTACTCTATCTGTAAAAGAATATTAACTGAGGCCATCTTTAAAAAAAATGATTGCTTGTCCTCTCCCGACCGACTGGCTAAAAATGGCCCGACTCAAAGTTTTTTAAGCCTGCAGAAAACGATAATATTTTTCCCCAGAATTTTTTCATCTCGTCAACAAGAAATGTTGAAATTTTCTGGATCAACAATTTCTGGATAAAAAATCTACCGACCCAATTTTTGTTTTATCCTGAGTCGGGAGAGGGCAAAAGTTCAAAGATGGACTGATTTTGGTACTTTTGTCATGGAAGGTTCTGATTTTGTACCTGTTTCATATATACTCTGACAACAGAATCTAATATATAGAGAAAACTCTCTAAAAATACTGTTTCATTTTAAATTGCATGTAATTGCAGTGCAGTCGTATCGTATGCCATTATTCTTAAATGCACCTCCTCTTAAATCATGGCCAAGCAGAAAAGTATCCCGATATCGTCGAGTTAGACGCAGGACCAGTTGTTCCGTGGTGCTCGTCAACCAATTAGATCCAGTAAGTTCTGGTGACATATCCGGAATAAAAAGGACGTCAATGGGCAGTTTATCGTTATTCTTAGACAGTACTCTGTGCAATTTGTATTTCTTACATGTCCCACCTGAAACAAATTGGTACTTGTCAAGTCTTGATAAAAAGTATAATGGCATGGACATGTACATACTAGTATATACACGCATATGATAGCCTCCCCCTTTTTAGGTCACCTGAGTCATTCAGGTGACCTATATACTACTACCCGTTTTTGTCTGTCGTCGTGCGTCGTCCGTCGTGCGTTAACATTTGAACATTTTCAACTTCTTCTCTGAAACCGCTAAACCAATTTCAACCAATTTTGGCATATATCATTTATGGCTGAAGGGAAACAAAAATGTAAATTTCATGGTCCCTGTCCCCCTTGGGCCTGGTGGGACCTGGTGGGGTGGGGCTAAAACCACATAAAGTAATGCAATCCTTAAAAATCTTCTTCTTTACTCCTGGACATCAAGCAGTCAAACTGTTGGCATGATTGTAATGAGCATTGAGCCCTCTCCCGAAATTGTGAAATTCATGGCACCAGGATCCTAGGGCGGGGCTATATAGATAATATAGTGAAAGTGCATTATTTCTTTGAAAATCTTCTTCTATTCTCCTGGGTATTAAACAAACTACATGAGTATATAGTTATCATGGGCAAGGGTGCCACTTCCAAAATTGTGAATATCATGGCCCCAGGGTCAGGGGTTCTGGTGCTAGGGCGGGGCTATACATGTATAGATAATATAGTGAAAGTGCATTATTTCTTTGAAAATCTTCTCTTCTCCTTGGTATTAAACAAACTAACTGAGTACATACTTATGATGGGCAAAGGTGCCTCTTCTAGAATTGTGAATTTCATAGTCCCTGGGTCAGGGTTTCTGGTGTTATGACGGGCTCTATTGATTATATAGTGAAAATGCATTAATTCTTTGAAAATCTTCATTTCTGTTTCTGGGTAATTGGGTATTATTTAAATAAACTAAGTGCATGGTTATGATAAGCAAGGAAGCCTCTTCCAAAATTGCGAAATTTATGACCCCAGGATCGGCGGTTCCGGTGAAAGTGGGGGGGGGGGAATCTTTTGATTAAATAGTGAAAAAGCATAATTTCTTTAAAAATATTCTTTTCTGCTCATGGTTATAAAGCAAAGAAACTAAGTGTATAGTTATGATGAGCATCAGTGCTTCTTCCAGAATTATGAGTTTCATGGCCCTGGGTCAGATGTTCTAGTGTAAGGGTGGGGTTCTATTGAATATATAGTGAAAATGTATTAGTTCTAGTAAATAATCCTGTCTGCTCCTTAGTGTTGAGCAGATAAACAAAGTACAAAGTGCATAGTTGTGATGAACAAGGGTGCTTCTTATAAAATTTTTAAAACTTGTGGTCCCTGGGCCAGGGGATCTGGTGTTTCTCGAGGGGGGAGCTCTATTTATAATATAGTGAAAATGTGTTAATTCAACTAAGTGTATAGTTATGATGATGAGGGCACCTCTTCCAAATTTGTGAATTTTACGACCCTGGGTCCTGGTGTTAGGGCTGTGTTGAATCTGTCACCAGTTGCCGGTGGAGGGCTGCAAATTAGACCTATATACTTGGCACTCAAGGCCATTGAGCAGTGAGGGATCTTTTCCGTGCCAGCGCCTACTGCGACACGGGACCTCGGTTTATACGGTCTCATCCGAAGGACCGGTCTGCACGTCCCACAGTGGGATTCGAACCCGCGACTTAAGGATCAACTCCTTACACCGCGACTCTAGAGCAAACGCTCTAACCACTGCGCCACAAGGGCGACCAGATTATAACTTAATTTATGAGACGAGTTGTTACTGAATACTAGACTAATTATTTCGTTGATCCTGAACATCCTATTTCTCTTGCTCTTGGGAACAAAGTTTCATCTATCAGTTTATTTTATACTCTATGAATCCTCTAAATTTTTGTATTATACTCAGGTGACCGTTAAGGCCCTTGGACCTCTCATTTCATATAAACTCTTTAACAGTTTCGTTTGAACGGAAAGTGCAGGAGAAATATTGCCTTTATTAAATTTTACCTTTCTTGTTGGAAAATAGACAGAAGGTAGCGTTATAGTCTACTGGTATGCTGATCTTTTTTTGAGTCAGAGATCGGGGTCCCTTCAGCACCGTAGCCACTATCCTCTCTTGGGAACCGAACCTTCGGATGAACAGTTTCTGAAATCAACACAATCTGTATCAGAACTAAACCAAGACTAAATTATGTTCCTTTTTGGACAAAATCAGCCGTCTCCCTCATTTCCCAGCTATACCTCAGTCTGTCCGTCACTACATGGCCTTGGTTGGAACCTAGATTCAACGTCCTGAGAGTCCTTGAACTACATATAAATTTAAGTTTGATTTATTCCAATCAATGCCCTTGAAATGATTTCAGTATCTTATCTCACTTTGACCTTAACCTACGTGATAGGACCTTTAGTTTAATCAATATGTTGACATATTTTTTAAGCCTTTGCCACGAAAAAACTCTAGGATTCCAGGGTATGTTCGGACACTTTGTTCATACTGTTATCCCACAGTGACATGCGCAGACTTTAAGATACGACCTTGAATCAAGCCACTTCTGTTTCTCGCGAAAACAAATTGGCTTAATCATAATTCCCTACAAAGATGCCAGAGTCACTGATTAGACAATCCGCATTCCGTAATGATCAATACTTAAATTACTAAAGGAAAATCTCGTTTATATATAATAATATAATCAGTGCTAAGATATACTCATCAATGTGATAAATAAAGTGGTGAACATCGCCTTATGATACGGAAAACGTTAACTTTGAACTTGGAAAAGCTGCATGATTACACGAGACTTTTGAGCTCCGCGTCCTCTTGACAAAAGAATAATTTGTGATATTCATGTACAGTATTCCATACTTGAAAGTCATGGAAGGCTTCGTGAAGGGAGTGCCTTGGGTACAATTAAAAAAAACTCCCAGATATCAATTAAGTTCATTCTTCAGTTTAATGTAATGCTGTTTATATTTACTTAATGTAATATTAGAAATAAATTACTTTTAGAGTAGACCAAAACCGACCACCCTTTTATTAAGAAACATTCTGTCTTAGGGGAAGGGGTACCCCTCCCAGACGGAACCCCCACCCCCAATTCCAGAAACCTGGCACTGACGGCCCTGACATGATCGCGTTCTCAATCATGAAAATGGCTTTCAGATCCAATGCTGTCTTATTCTTTTGTGCACAGCCTGTGTATATTTAACCGGTATACCGATGTCGCACTTGTTCAGGCAGTTCCGCAGCATTTTTTATAACTGACGACACGACATTGTCAGATGTTGGATATTAGAGAGAATGTTCGATTCTTTGGAGCCCATTTTTATTTAGAAGTTTGTAACTGCTTTTTTAAAATATATCATAATCTGATAACTTACAAGAGTCTTTAATAAAAACAAGTATTCTGAGAGTATTACATTAGCAATACTAGTCCCCTATCGGCAAGTGTAATCTGGTTCCCGTTAAAAATTGAAAAGGTCGTAATTCCCTCAAAATCGATGAAGCGGAACGAAATGCAAACTTGATCTGTAACTCATCAAGATACACTCACATACCAAAAATCAGCTCAATATCTGCAAGGGTTTAGAAAAAAAAGGTAGAAAACCAAGTGGGACAGACTGACAGACAGACGGACAGCTAGACAGACAGACGGACGGACAGAATCAGAGGAAACCTATAGTCCCCTCCGGTTTCACCGGTAGGGGACTAATAAGACCGTTGACTTGTCCATTAATTGCCTCCACCTTTCTCTGATCATAGACAGGTCGCTTTATCAGTTTATGGTGGATATACATGTATTATTTAAAGTCCAACATCCCTCTGTTCACTCGTGGAAAATTTTGCTTTAACGCTAAAGATTTCCCAAAAGAAATCTGAATATATATGCACACAATTTCAGCATACCTTGCCGGGCAAAATTTGCCAGGAAGTGTCTTTTTAACTGACAAAGGAACCATGATAATCATTTGTCTCAGTGAGTCATTTCTCCTACCAGAAGGTTGGAGAATCTTAGGAACATCGAATCACTCTCATTTCAATTACTTTGTTTCATTTTGCTTCTTTGAAGATATTGAATATATTTATAGGGACTCATTTAAAAAAATCGGACATTCTCATTGAAATCCGGTATGAAGCAACTCGAGTGCCAAATAAGCACAACTACATATACATGTATTTATTACATTTCCAATGTCTTTGTCCGAGATAAAATTACAAATTGTAAAAATACTTATTTCTACATAAATCTACTGGTTCATCTATAGGCGCGGTTAAAAAAAATCACGTGCGGGGCGGGACAAATAGAGACAGAAGCGGGGCTATTAGCACGGGAATTTGCAGAATCAGGAGCATGTAAATATAAGGAATAACTGTCAGATTTTTTGGATTCATGACGATGATCAGTCGATTGGCTTGCGTGATAATTTTATGCATAAACGCCTTCGGCGTTTATGCAAATTATCACGCAAGCCACTCGATTGATCACATCATGAATCCAAAAAATAAGCTAGTTATTCCTTTGAAGTTATATGTCTTAATCATTAACATATCGAGGATCGATAGGTTACCATGGAAATCATTTGTTTGATTCGCTATAATTTCTGGACAAGACTACTGTAAATTCCTTCCACATGTGAAGGGACAATCAAACAAATATACTCTCTTGTGAAAACAAATAAAGAATTATCAGTAGACTGCGAGAGCATGTTTGGGAATACTTTCTTGTAGAGGGATTGGTTTCTTATATAGAACTACATGTACCTATGGAAAGCATTTTTCACAACCTCATCTCTGTAGTTTTTCCTTGTTGTCCATTAAAATAAAAATAAAAATCAGTAAAATGGAGGGATTCCAGAATGTTTCTGAACAAATAAATGTACCCAAGGACAGAAACTCCCCCCCCCCCCCCAATATACACCGCGGACCTTCTCAACATTTTAAATAAATTATCTTTTTATGGCATATTTGCAATTTAATCCATATCATCATTTCGAAAATTTACTTCATACAAACATTTTATAAACATTCCTATCCAACTCTCTATATATAGTAAAACAATATTATTTGTTCCAAAAAATTACAAAACCCGCTTAAGGGGTTATGTAAGTTTTCTGCAATGTTGCATCCATTCATTCTTGTATGATTGAACAAACTAACATTTTATTGTTAAAATATATAAACATATATATAAACACCGAAATATTTGTAATATACAGAAATTAAACAGCTGTCAATACGTGTACCATGTAGTCAGATCACCAAACTCGCATAAATCAACTACACTCGATTAGATGTTTGACAAACTCTGAGCAATAGAAGAAGTTAATGCATTAATTGTCAATAGTGTTCATAACGATAAAGATCGATATCTAAATTTTTGTGAGGTGTACACACACATACCAAACATTTTCAGTTTGGATGAGGTGCACTACCAAGCCAAAAGAAAAAAAAAAGAAAAAAAAGAAAGGAAAGAAAGAAAAGTTATCAGGTCATCTGACGTAAATTATATTGACTAGGCACATTCTTAGAGTACCTTTATTTTCTTTAGAATGCTATATATATGCAAAATTATTGGACACCCCTCCCTCCAAGGTTACAACGGTACACGTACTTTTATTTGTAACGTGATTTCTCAAATATAATTCCTTTGTATGGAAATAGTTTATATCCTCGTGAACTAAAACTGATGAATAGTAATATTGCAGTCATAAGACACTATTTTAAGCTATTCAACATGAGGAAATGTACATATACACAGCTTGTCAATTTCTGTGCATTTTAATGAAAATAAATGAATGGAATATAACAAAAATATCGTATTTCACTTTTAAAAGTTCACTTTTCAAGTAACTAAGCATATTTTTCCTGCTTTCAAAACTGAAAATTCTATACATTTCTTATCGATAAATGTTACTCTACAACCACGACGAATATTCTATTCTCTAGAACGAGTTGGGACTCTTTCAAATCAAAATACAACATTACATGTATTGTCAATAAAAAAAAAAGATAAATTGATACTAATTATTAATATACATCAAGGATCACCATATATGGTGACCAACACGAAATACATTTGAGGTAAATTAAAAATTATTAAATTTTACTATAAAAACCAATTATTTGATGAATTTGCTATTTAATAAGGGCGGTGTGCAAGGTGGATGATGAATACTAAGTCATTTCTAAAGGAGAAAAAAAATAAAAATTTCTGAACAGAGTACATGGGACCTTTTAGATAAGTGTTACACACATCAAACCTTTCTTTTCTTTTGTTTACATGCACTGAGAGAAAATAATAATTACGACGCATTACTATTTAAGTCACATGGACATTGCAGAACGAAATAAGTACTTCCCCGGACCAAACTCACCTGTCCTCTTTCATAAGTTTCCACTTGCTCCTCGCCATAATAACCTCGCGTAACCTGCACTAACCTGGGCAAGTGATTACTGAAGCTGTCATAAAAAGCTTTGGGTGAATACTCAACTTTGTCCACGAGAAACTGTGAATCGTTGGTGTTGGACGACATTATTCGCCGTCGATTTTTTTTTTACTTCCTTGGTGCTAAGCTCGAGAGTTTTATCGAATCGTGATATGACAAAATACGCAAATCAGGACAAGTTGTGTAATAGGTGCTCGCTTGGGTGGGTTTTCTTTCATGCGATATTTAAATATTACTAATTATTCGACTGGCTGAGCATGTTGAATGAAATGGTCCATTGGTTAAAACAATAAAAAAAAAAGTTTCATTTGTTGATATTGTTGCAAGATTACAGAAAAAGAAAATACACAAACCTTGTTAGTAAAACACAACGCAGAAATAAAATTTATCGTTTAAATTACCTATATCTTCTCGGAAACCATGAAGAGTTTACCTTTAACACTTCTCGATCAATATTTTGAGTTACAGAGGGCTTTGAAAAGGTTAAAATTTAGACATCATTTTTTTCTTCTAGTTAACAGAAATATGGTTTTCATAAGAATTAAAAGAGAACATATTCAGTGGATACAATATTGAAACATATTTACAAAAGATGTGACTTCTCTTCACGATTCTTTGAAAGAAATTCATTTCACATTTTCATATCTCTACTATAACCGATAGGAAGTAACAGTGCAACAAGACATCACAACTTTATAAACTGCAATGAGAAAACTATATATATATATGTTACATTAAAGTTTTGCAATTTAAGAAATTCATACGGTGGTACATTTAGGATACGTAATTAATTTTTTAAGATACTTCAAAAAAATTAATTACGTGCCCTAAATGTACCACCGTAAATCCATAACTATGAGATTTACATATCTTGTTATATTGATTTCTTATTGATTTTGTTTGCACTTTCTGTCTCTGCTTTCTACGAATAAACTTAATCTTTAAATTTTAATTACGGACTTTTGATTTGTTCCAGTCAGATCCCCTATGAAAGCGAGTAGTTCAGTAGCCACAGAGGTGATCCCCGAAGTTTCGCCTTAGGTGTAAAAACCAGTGTGAAATATGTAATAGACATCGTTGAGATGGCGACCATCTGAAAGAGTCCCACTATTAGCAAAGGGCATTAGGATAAAAGAACCTATACCTAAAGGCACTCTTTGGGTGAAGTTTAAAATATATGAGGCCAATGAGAGAAAAAATGCTCAAGAAAAGAATTTTACAGATTTTCTATAGGATTTATAGTAAATTTGTAAAATTCTTTCTAAAATCCCTACAGCTATAGGTTGACCACTAAACTAAAACTTGGCTCACCCACTATCCATGGGCACTCTTATGGGTGAAGTTTAAGCCAGGTAGGACCAAGGGGAGAGAAAATATGTTCTGGACAGAATTTTACATAAGGAAGTCATCTGACCTTGACCTTTCATCTATAAAACTTGGTTCAAGGTCATGGACACCCTCTACATGCGGGCCTTCTATGGGTGACGTACATGTATGAGCCAAACCCAATTGGGCAAAGGGAGAGAAAAAATGCTCCGGGCAATGATTTTACAGAGAGCTTTTTCGAACTTGACCTTTGATCTAGGAAATTGGTTCAAGGTCACTGCAGTCCCTCTACTCTATAAGCGAAGTTTGAGTCTGATTAGGCCAAGGGGAGTGATAGTATGCTCTGGACAAGGATTTTACACGGAGAGGTTTTGAGAGCTTGATTTTTATCCACCTTAAACCGTAGGAACCGGGAGGGGGGGCGTGCCCCCCCCCCCCAATAAATTTGCCGATATATAAGATACTCTAGAAAACATAGGTACTATATGCTTGTGCCCCCTCAATAATAACTTCTGATGACCTTTTTTCTTTGACTTGTCAAGGAATTTTGGTAGTTGATAGTGCCCCCCACTGAAAATGTATTGTTGTGCCCCCTCAAAGTGAAATTGCTTCCTACGGGCTGTCTACTTACGGGTACGTTAATTAATAGTGAACTTTGGGCCAGGTAGGGCCAAGAAGAGAGAAAATATGCCCCGGACAAGGATTTTTCACAGAGGTTTTCTGACCTTGACCTTTCATCTAGAATATTTGTTCAAGATCAAAGCACACCCTCTACCAATTGGCACTCTATTTGTGAAGTACAAGTTCTACTGAGCCAAGGGTAGAGAAAATAATTATGTTACGAACAAGGATTTTACACACGGAGATTTTTCTACCTTGACCTTTTGGAAAATTGGTTTAAGGTCGCTGCACACCCGATACCCACGGGCACTCTATGGGTGAAGTTTGAGCCTCAAAGAGCTAAAGGGAGAGAAAATATTCTCCAAATAATTTTTCATGCTAAGATATTTTCTTATCTTGATGGGTTCAGGGTCACTGCTTCTCCTCTACCCATAGGGAGAGAACATATGCTCCGGACAAATGAAATCGGACGGACGGACTGATGAATGAAATAACCTTGACAATTAATGTGAAGATGATATAAGATGTGTAAGAAATATATTTTACCCAAAGCGTGCGTTATTCAATATATCAGCACAGTATACGTACGGTATACGTGTTATGACACAATGTACGTCAAAAGAGTAATTTTTTGCTTGGAATTTTTATTTTCAGATGGAATTTTTATGGATCAAGTTTATCGTAATTTATTTAAAAATCAATTCTAACAGTCAAACCGGCGTGTATTCAAATCAGATTGTATAGAGCAACTGAGAACGGTGCTAACCAGTCTTTTGAGCCCCCTGCATCCTCACAACGTCAGTGGTCTTGAGTACACTCGTGGACAAGATGATCTCAAAGTTGGTTGTCTGGTTGATGGGACATTTAATTCTGCTGCATTTCTAAACTCACTCTAGAGCATCAATTCTTGCAGAGGAACTAGAATCCTTAGGGCAAGAAGGAAGGAGTCTGTCTTGTCGATGTCTTTTAGGGGCGTCCTGACCTAGATCTATCATTTACTGAATTGGTCTGTATCTCATTTTATTAGATATCGTGCTTCGAACCACACCACTATCTTATTCGTGGGTGAACCTACTCCAAGTATCCCTATTGCTCGCGCTCTTTCTGTAGGTGACAATGAATGTCGTTTACTAATGCTTAACTATTGTTACGTGTGTTAGATTTTTAACCGGGTTCCATCGGATAAATAGGAAATGGCGGGCTCCTGCTAACAGGGTAAATCATTTGTCCGGAAAACTCCTCCTTAAATTTTCAACATAGGAATTTTTTTTTTATTTTGCAGATCATTTATACATGTATGTATCAGAGATGTGCATGTTACTTAGATTTTTTTTTCGTGGAAAATTAATCTTGAACTTAGTCATTTTTATGCAAAATATTGTTCATAGGATTGATTGTTTGATTGTATATATATTGTTTAACGTCCCATTCGAGAATTTTTCACTCATATATAGGGACGTCACCGTATGCCGGTGAAAGGCTTCAAATTTAGACCTACACTCGGCACTTAGGGCTATTGAGCAGTGAGGTTTCTTTATCGTGCCAACGCCTACCGTGACACGGGACCTCGATTTTTAAGATCTCATCCGAAAGACCCTTGACTTTCACTTCCAGTGCCGGGCGCTTGACGAGGGAACAGTCACTACCTATGTTTACGTCTTAGGTTTGAGGCGGCGCGGCGAACGAGTTGTTCATAGGATACAACATTTGTCCGGATAACTCTTCCTACAGTTTTCAAGATAGGAAGTTTTTTTGCAGTTTAATTAAACATATATTAAGGATGATGGTTCTTCGATTTAATTTCTTGAAAATTAATGAGAAATATACCAGTTCTTGTACTAATTCATTTTTATGCAAAGTATTGTTTATAGGGTATATGATTTGTCCGGAAAACTCCTCCTAGTGTACAAGAAAGGAAATTTTTATTATGCAGATTAATTAAACATACATGTATATTAGAGATGTTCATGGTACCTGGATTTTTGTTGTTGAAAATTAATGAGAAAAATACCAGTTCTTAGCTTAGTCATTTTTATGCAAAATATTGTTTTTAGGGTACAATATATGTTCGAATAACTCATGCTACAGTTTTCGAGATATGAAGTATTAATATAAACATATATCAGAGATGTACATTTTACTTTGTTTTCATTTTTGATCATTTAATACCAGTTGTTGAACTAAGATGTACATAGGATTTATTAATATTGCCTAAAAATTTCCAACTTATTTTTCCAGATATGTCCAATTATTATACAACCTTGACAAGCGTAGGGATGAGCTTGATTGTCATCTTCATCTCTGTTGTTTTTTCTATGAACATTCAAAACAAAAAGGCCACGTAACTTCAACCGAATGTCAAAAATTGCAGATTTAAATAATGTGTATATTTCAAATGTTCACGGTCGACAGATGGCCTAAGCATACTGTTCACACAAAACAAAACCTGTTTTGCTATCACATTGACAGCTTTGTCCTTGTTCATTACTTTTTTAAGCTTTGTTTTCTTTAAACTTCACTGCACACGATAGAAACCCCTGTAACTGTTTACAAATCACATATAAAATTAGAAGCCTTTTCTAAAACTTTTTTTTCGAAAAGGTTAAATCCATCTTAACCCCCCCCCCCCCAACCATCACTTAACAGTTGTTTACATGATGAAAAGTGAGGTCTGAACTTTAGATTTCATTGTTATAATGATAATACAATTGTGTTATTCATTTCCTTAATTAATAAAATTCTGTTCTGAATAAGGGAATTCTTTCTACATTAAGCCAATTCTACACCTTTTTGAGTAGTGTATTTGTCATAATGTATTAATTATACTACATATCTGTAAACCAACACTTTTAGTCTAAATAATTTCCTGACACATTAGAGAAATTGACTATTAAATCAAGGGCCGGTGTTTTTGATATCCAGTATTAATCTGCATGCTTATCCAACAGGAAATTTTTAAAATATAAACTAGTTTAATATACAATAGACAAAATTGCTAACGTACCACTTGTTATTCTTATTTGTGAATTGAACATTTGCAAAATGTCTTGGTGTCACGCAAAGACCCTGAAATGACCTTCTTGCCCGAAAACCAATTTCTCTACGTGCACTGTGCATAGTTTTTGGCAATGCTCAGATTTGAAGTCGGTGATTACAGATGGTGGTCCATAAGGTTGCAACAGAAGCAGTCTTCCAGTTAAAAATCAAACAATATACAGCTATTGACCATCATATCACCTAGTAGTCATCCACTGATCCAGTGCCTTGGTGTCCATACCCAGTCCACCCAACTTCCGGTTACCCCAATTTTGTGGAACAATCTTGAAATTGTCGTGTGGTGCTTACTTAATGCCGTGGCTATTTGAAGTTAACATTTTTATCTATTTGCAGCAATTTTTCACTGAGGAATGAATAATGTTTTAATTTTTGTTTTAAACATTTTTTAAAAACAAATTTCCCCATAGCCCCCTGCACACACAATATTAACTGCTTTATCATGCTCTTCTAGGGTCAAATGCCAAATACGGTAATTTTTTCCGAGTTTTTTGTGTCGCCTGCAGAGCAGAGCGACACTTAGGGATCACTTTACCCGGCGTCTGTCTGTCTGTCCGTCTGTCACACCTTATATCTTGAGAATTGCAAGAGGTATGGGTTTGATATTTTGTACATATTTTGCTTGGCACTATAGCTTTTGTAAATTACCATGGTTACCGACCTCATGACCTTTGAACTTGACCTTTGATCTACTTTACAAAATAGTTCATAGTGCCGATATACATCATATTTTTGACGTTTTAGAGGTAAGTTTGAGCTATTTAGCATGTGCAAAGTTTATCATAAAATACTTTCCAAAAATACCAACGTTACAGATCACTTGACCTTGGCCTTTGACCAACTTTGCAAAAATACTCTAGACGTTTAATTTAACTTACATGTTTTATATTTTTAGAAGAGGGTTTTGATAATTATCATTTATATCACATGTTTATGAGCTTATGCCACTGTACTTTGAAACTGTATAATATACAGTTACCACACAAACTGAAATTTAAATATTATGAAAATAAATCGGGATCGGTAAAAATGGATGGTTTTAGACTGACAAAATGCAGAAAGTCTGAAGACAGACTGAAATCTCTTTTAGAGGATCGTTTAAGGAATGAATTTAATAGCTACCCAAATTATACTATACAACCTGGGTTGGGGCAGTTTAACGCTTTATAAACCGCGAAGCTGTAATTAAAAAGGCGTAAACTGTTCTAGCCCAGGTTATACCAGTATAACTTGGGTAGCTATTAAATTCATTCCTTATAATTTAATTTTCCATATTAAGTGTAGAAAATAAAACAATTTATCCTTCAAAAGTGCCTTCAAATTGAACATATTTTAAAAGTAACGTCAAGCGGATTGATACGTTTTTGACGTAAGTCATTGTGACGTAGGCAACACAGGTTATAGGATATAAAGTTATAAACTAATTTTTTTTTATCCAATCAATGACGCGTTACAATCAAAATTAAATTATCTTAAAATGATAAATAATTATTTCTAATCATTTCAATTTCATTATTCATTTTAGCATTGAGGGTGGGGAATCATATTTCTAATTACATCACAGTCATATTATTCATGGATTTTTTTTCTTTTAAGGTAAATGCATGAACTACGGTATAATGCTATTAGCACTCCTATCTTATTTGCATCTTTAATGATGCTATAAAGCAGGCGACACAAGTGTTCATTGGAACACTCTAGTTAATTGATACAAACATAAAGAACACAAACACAAAGAAAAAAAATAGAAATATATTCCTCCAAAAAAAGCAGGTGCATGATTTTTCATTTACATTGTAGTTATTTATCAGTTAAGACATTTAAATGCTTATCAATTTTTACTTAAGTAACATAATTTTATATCAGATACAATGTACATCATAGACAAATTTTGAAATGTAAAATATTAATTTCCTTTGGTAATGCATTGAGCAATTTTGTCTAGTGTACCTATATTAATTCTTGTAAAAAGTGTCATTAGCAATTCAAGTATTCAACAGAGCTTAACTTCTCCATGTTCAGTTACTTTATCTATACAACACTGCACCTAACAAAATCGAGATAATAACTTTCTAAAACCCTTAATTGACTTTTCTCTGGTCTCTCTCTTTGTTAAGAGTGTTGTTTGCTCCACAAGTCTATAGCCATAGTCACAATGATATCCCCACAATCTTCTGGGAGCTGAAAAATATTAGACTCAATCAGCTACATAATACTTGTATCAAAATAATAATTCATAACTCTAACATGGTGAAAAGTATGAACCTCATTCCTGCATCTCTATTCTTGCTCATTATTTATATACTACTACATGTACATTTCTATGTAACAGGATTTTTTTTTTAACATTTCATAATTTGATTTTGAAAATCAATATTCCCATTTCCCCTCAGCCATAGATGTAAAAAAAAAAATCATTTTGTTTCCTGAATAAATTTGTACAAACCAATGTATAAACATACTGGAAGTTAATTTTCATTTTGTTCAGTAAATAAATTATTTATTTAACAACCTATGTCTTAAGTAAGTAATGGAAAACAACCTAAATTTCAATGAATTCATGATTTTTATTTATTCCACAGAATATTCATTTTCCAAAACAATGAGTTACAAATGTATTAACTTAACACACATAAAATATAAGGAAACAGATTGCATTATTTTTTCCCTGTTTGTAATATTTTTTTCTTTTTTTACCATTAAAGGCGATGCTGTCTTTCAGTCCTCCTCTTTCATCTTGAAAACCCCTTGTTTCCCTTCAATTTCTATTGCATTCTACCTTCAGATTTCAAAGGGGCTAAATTTTCTTATATTTTGAAGTAACAACATGTGTCAGTGTCATCTAAGCCATCTTCATTTTTCCATCTTTACTTCCCTGACTAGCCCCTCCACCTAAAATGGGCTTCAGGGAAAATGAACAAAACTCACTTTTGAAATTTTCCTCAGTTTATTGTCTCGCACAGCACAATGGGATAAGGATTAATTCCTACTACAAACCATATCTACTTCTGCAATTGTCACGATTAGTCTTAATCCACTATCATGTGTGTGGTGTCAGATATCGAAGGAATCTCAGAATTGAATTTTCTTCATTTTCCTCAAGTTGGCCATTCTGAGCTGGCCAGGGGTCAGCCAGGAAAGCAAAGATGGAAAATGTATAGTGGTGTAGATAATACCCAAATTAGCTGTAGAATTGTAGCACTATGGTTTTATATTTTAGTCTTTGACCATTTTCGCCACTTTTCAGCATTGGTCAATCAATGACCTTTCATCCCCTAATTTTAGACAAACATGTATTCTATAACCAGCCTGTATACTTTATCCACCTCCTAACCGTTTATAGTCATCTCTACAGACCAATAAACTGTCTGTAGAGACGACTATAAACGGTTAGGAGGTGGATAAAATATACAGGCTGGTTATAGAATATGTCTAAAATTAGGGGATAAAAGGTCGTTGATTGACCAATGCTGGAAAGTGGCAAAATACATCCCCAAAGTGTGCAGAAAATCTTGCACCATAAATTCCACTTTATTTACATTATGGGATCTGTAGCGTTATGGTCAAAGACTAAAATATAAAACCATAAAGCTACAGTTCTGCAGTTATACCCAAATATGTTGTCACAGTACTTTATGATATGGGAAAATTTAATCCCTTTCAAAATGTTTAAGATCACTTGCAAATAACAAAGCATTGTAAACAAGGCAAAATACATCACTTTGGGGCTGAGGTCAGGTAATAATAACATGGAAAAATTGTCATGGTACCCTTGACTTCTGACCTTAAAAAATAATAGGAATTTTTCTCATAAGATTTGCTACCCAACTGTGAAATTCATTCGTTATCATCAAACCAGTAGGATGCTTGCCCTACCACCAGACATCAAAGGTAAAACTAAATTACTGGGTACCTATAACTTAATCATAATCAAGCCTAGGGTATAAATAAGGGTTTCAAGGGAGGGGGATGCTGAGGGGGAAAAAATCACATTTAATGGTATAAATAAAAAATGTGACACCAGAATACATGCATGTAAATATCATGATTTTCATCAAAATTCCAGATATATTAGCTCTGGGTCATTTGATTTTTACAGAGAATTGCTCTGATAAATATGATGGAACAAACCTCCATTAAATATTGAATCATATCTGTTTTGCTCTTCATGCTCAGAAGTGGTCGCTTGAAGGTCAGAAAAACAGCTACTGCTACAAACACTACAATGCCATGGGCACCTCCTATGACTTTGTCCCAGATTCTGGCAGAGAGATAAATCATCCATAACTAAATCAGTGATAAATACCAGGGGGTACTTCAAATTAGTTCACACTTACATGTAACAACAATATTATACATTTGTTGACCGGGTTTGAGGGCAGCATGCGTTTTGTCACACCCAAGAACCGAACTGTTTGCCTGAGGCCGGTTAGGCCTCCAGCAAACAGTTTGGTTCTAGGGGTCAACAAAATGCATTTTGCCTGAGAACAGTCAATAAATGTTTTTTTGTATACCTTTTTTTGACATACATGTATCTTGTGCTGGTTTCCGAGATGTAAATTTCCTTTACCAGCACTGAGGTTAAACTCGGTCAATTACGTCACTGTAACCCCATTGAATGCAAATAAGATTTTCATGATACCACCCATTGTGTGACGTAAGTGGTTCAATTTCTCACTGACAGGTCCAATATCTCACTCTGGTCAAACATGGATTTTTCCATGACCACTCAGTAAAACATTGGAAATGTTAGACTTTTTTTAATGTAGATTTATAAAAGTACAAATTTTTAACTGTATAACAAATCATGCTTATAATGTTTTACACAATATGAGAATAAATTGAATTGAGAATAATGGTCATTGCACAATAGTTCTTGCATATACCATCTGATGTTTAATATACTTCTACTCTTTTTGTTGGTGCATTTATCTACACAAGTTTAAAGTTATAAAATTATTACTTACTAAATTACTAAAAAATAAATAACTACATTCTTAAAAAATTGGTTAACCATGTGATACCAATTACTGCTTAAATCTTTACTTATTAAGACTGCAGTCACCATTTGCTAGCCAAATGTTTCTTTTCTATTCCACTTTTCACTAACCCTAGGGTTAGTGAACATGGACTTCAATTTGAATTGAATTCACTATTCAATTGTGCATGTAACTAAAATTGGTCTGCAATCTTACAAGAGTCATATTTTAAAGCTAAGATAATAAAAGTTAAAAATTCATTTTCTACAAAATAGAATTTCCTAAATACTAGTCTAGAATGCATTTTTGATTTTTAAATTGACTATGTAATTTTTTAAATTTTGCCAGCACTTGATTGACATTCCAAAATGAAGAAATACAAATTTTTACAGTATAATTAAGGGAAAAAAAATGACAAAAGCATCTTCATGCTGAGAAAGACAGAAAGTTTCTCTAATATTGACATGACCAGGAATCAATTGGTTTACATGCTTTAAAACCATACACCATCCGTTTGAGGAGAAACGCTATACAAAATGTTCTCATTCTTCCTTTAAACTTGTTGATTTTTAATACATGTGTATATAAACTGTATCTCTTATATTAGTGATAATGTATGTTTATCTCAATTTGATTAAGGAAATATTAGTAAGTAGATGTGACTGTCATACTTGGTTTTTATTACCTTTCAAGGCATGTTTCAGGTAGCACTTCAGCAAAACAGCTATCAAACCACACTGTTAAGGGAAGAGAATTCCATAGGGAGTGTTTTTGGAAATGGTCAAACAATTTTCCATCTCCATCTTCAGTTTTGAGGCTCTGTGTTGTTTTCTGAACCTTTTTGAAATTTTAATCATTTTGTGAATTTATGAAATCACGTAAGATTATTTTTATCAAGTTCAAATTCATCCATAAGGTAATAAATGTACATGCACTTGCAGTTTTCCAGAATCACCCTCTTTTTTAATATATGTAAATAGCGGGAAAAAAACTTACCAGATTTGAATTGCTATCTTTGGATTTTTTGTACATTTTGTAAAATTCAACAGAAATGAGGTAGGCATCTGTCAGATCCTCACATATATTTGCCATTGTTGCTGCTATTGAAACGAAATCCTCAAACTCCGAATCATACTGAATAAAAAAACAAACTGCACATTAAAAAAATGACATATTCTTATCCTATAATTTATGTTGAAATCTGATTAGAGTACAAAAATCCAATCATATAAACAGTCTTTATCTCAGGTGTACAAGAAAATGACCTAGATTTTATTATTGTTATACTATATGATATATGAAACTATATATTAGACATGGGAGCTGGTACAAAATGGATTCAAGTCTTATGTGCAACTGTTCTAATAATATTAAATGAATTATTCTTGTAAAAGCTCATACACATGTTCATATACAATCAGTAATTTTAAATTACTGTCAAATTCTCTGCTCAAATAATAATAATATACCTTGTATTGCTCAAACTTGATCTGGCCAGACTCCACAAGGTACATTTTGAGGAAGACTTTTCCTATGGGTGTGTTTTCATCAACATATCGTAACAACTTTACAGCATGATTTAAGTCATTGTATTTTTGTTTCCTTTGCTGCATCAGAAATTCATGGGAGTCTGAATTTGCACACAAAACATCTAAAATGAGAAAAAGCACAAAGGAGGCTAGTACAGTGTATATATTTGTTTATACGTGTAACTGATGAGTGATGATAAATCATTTTTTGGAAAAATTTTCTGGTATATGTACATAATATAACAACTACTATCATTCATCAAGTATCATTTTTTGTAATTCAATCATAGTAAAGAACTCACCTAAGACTAGTTTCCAGACATAATTTCGATACATTGCTGGCATAGCAAATCGCAGACAAAACTGCTTTAATTTTTCCACACTTATTGGTTTTTCTTTTAGAAGAGTCTCTAATGATTTCCTCTCCTCCACTCCACCGATCCCAAATTTGTCATAATAGTAAGTACGGAAATTTCTCTCATCTGACATAATATAAATCGGTCTTCTTTAAAGGCAAAAAATTTAGGCCAATATCCCATCAAAGTCCATCATTTTGACTTGTACATTAAACAAATCCTGGAGAACAAAGATGAAATATTTTCAATAGATAAAAAACAATCATACACCTGAAGATAATTTAGAACAAAAAAGAAACGTAAAATATTCCATTCTTATGAATACACTCTTACATGGGAATGTATTGTGGTTGCAACCCCATACACATAATAAAAACTTATGCTTGATAAGAATGATTGCAAATTTGCAAGGAAATTCAGAACACAAGTGAAGAATATATTAACATTTGAAATGCTGATGTGGCATACAGTTTTTTTCCAATCAGTTGCTGGGCCAAGTACTGAGTTACTTCCTGTAGAAATGTTTGCCAATTTCAGTCTCAATATTTATGTATGTCCTGAATAAATAGGCAACTACTCAGCATGATATAAATGCTTGAAAATATACAATTTTCTATCACTCAAGGAGTTGAGCGTCTGCACTACTCAATTTTTTAGCAAAAATTTTAAAACTAAACATAGGTAATCTGAAAGCTTACAGAGCTCACCTCAAAGAATGTTATCTTTAGGTAAGGCAAAGTCCCATACTAAACTAATAATATAGTAGTGTCACTGTGCATCCCTAGATACAACATTTATGCAATTTTTGTCCATGTACAGCTTGCCTTTAATTGGGAATGAGCTTGTCCTAAAAAAAACTTAAACCGGTCATTCATCCAGAAAATGCAGGTCAGATCTAGCATACAAAGTAAGTCTGTTAATGTGCAACCCTTGATGCACCATCAATACAAGTTTGGTCCAGGTCAGCCTTATCGTCAATTGGGAATGGACCTGCTCTAGAAGCTTCAATTGGGAATGGACCTGCTCTAGAAGCTTTAACCTGGTCAATTCTAAAAAGCAAATTTCACATCCTGGACAGGGCTCGACATTAACGCTTGTCCGCTTGTCCGGTACCAGTGGAAAAAAAATATGGACAAGTAAATATTGCTGGGCACTTGTCCGATTGGACAAGTGCATTTTTATGTAAAGAAGTCACTAAATAATAAAAAGAACAACTGTTGAAAGTTTACCAGTACTTTAAAGACGGAAACAGTACATAAAAACCCAACTTCGATCCCGATATGGATCGCTATGTAATCCAGTTCACACTCGATCGGGATCGAAGTTCACTAATTGCATACTACTACAAAGGCATGGAATTTACGAAGTTTGGCAGTATTTATGTTGTCAGGACAGAAAGTCTAGATAAAATTTTGTTTAATGTGTTTGTTGTATTTAAAAATAACATCACGCACATGTAATGGACTTTATTTTAGTTTTCCAGTCGACAGCATTAGATCTTTATTGAAAAATGTTCGGACAAGTGAAGTTGAAATTCGGACAAGTAAATGTCTTGGTTACTTGTCCGAATTGACAAGTAGGAAAAAAATTTAATGTCGAGTCCTGCATCCAACATCCAAAGAACCAGTAAGTCTGGTAGCATGCATCCCTAGATGTATCATCAATGCAAGTTTGCTCTATGAAGGACTTTAAATCAAACTGGAATGAACCTGCTCCAAAACCTTAAACTTGGTCACTCATTAAGAAATACAGGTCAAATCCAGCATCCAAAGCAAGTCTTAATACATCATCCATCAAAGTTTGGTCAAGGTAGGGCTTGAATTTAAACTGGAATTATAAACATGCTGCATAAACATTAAGCTGGTCATGCACCACGATAATGTAGGTCAATTCCGGCATCTGAAGAAAGTATGATAGTGTGCATCACTATACGCAAAATCCATGTAAGCTTGGTCAAGATAGGGATTGAAGTTACACTGGAATGAGCCTGCTCCAAAAAATTTCACCCGGTCATTCATCTAGAAAATGTAGATCAGATCCAGCATCTGAAGCAAGTCTGAGAATGTTCATCTCTTGATGCATCAACCATGCAACTTTGGTCTAGGGAGGACTTGAAGTTACACTGCAAAGAACTTGCTGCAAAAACTTTAACCTGGTCATGCATCTGGAAAATGTACATCAAATCCAGCATCTCGAGCAAGCTTGGTAATGTGCATCCTTAGATATATCATCCATGCACGTTTTGTCAATATAGGGTTTATAGATACTTTAGAATTAACCTTCTCAAAAGACTAAAACCTTGTTCATTCAGAAAATGTGGGTCAGATCCAGCATCCACAGCAAGTCTGGAAGTATACATCCTTAGTTGTATCATCCCTGCAAGTCTGGTCAATCTAGGGCTTATAGTTACTTGGAATTGAGACCTGATCCAAAATATTTAACCTGTTCCAAAAACATTAACCTGGTCATTCTTTGGCTGAAAATGCAGCAACTGAAAGACGGACTGGTACAAAGAAACATACTAAAAGCATCATCCATGCATCTCTGATCAATATAGGGCATATGAGTACTTGAAAGAAAATCTGCTCCTAAAACTATAACCTTGGATGCCGACATTCCAACAGTTAACAATGTCCTTGAAGGATAGGGACATACAAAAGACTACAGATATTTGAGTTTTGGTTTGTAATTATGTATACCTTTTCAATATGTATAAAGAGTTCTCTTTTTTACATATCAACAAGGAACCAAGACACCTGTGAAAAGATATTCTTTCTAACAGCTAGAGCAATTCTGCAACATCACATTTATTGTAGAGGTTGTACTTTCATGAAACTGACTTAAGATTTATCGTAAAAAAAGTTTTAAGACAGATCGTAAGTTTTTTGTTTTTTTTTTGTAGTTTTTTTTTTTTTTTTTTTTTTTTTTTTTTTTTTTTTTTTTTTTTTTTTTTTTGAAACTTGTGATCATTGACATTTTGAATAGAATTGTAATGTATTTTTTTTAATAGTGATGAAAGTTTTTTAAAATAGAAATTGGGTATTATATTAACACCTCGTAAGCATTGATAGTTAAAACTTACATTTCCACACAATATACATTGATATTTGCTATGTTGAACAATTTTTTCTGTCGAAATCAAATAGGAAACTTTGTATGCAGGATAAAAGAGAAAACCAAGACTGGTAAAATTCTCGGAACTCCTCGGATTTGTCTTTCGTAAGTTGTTTACTTTACGTAACTTCATTTTGAGCAAAATGTCGAATCTACCTCGACTCCTTAGATTATCTACTGTCGCAAGATGTTACAGAAATTTTCCAAGATATTCAAGTTCAACGTCTGGAAACGGTGATCAACCAGAATTTATACCTGTTCCAGAATATGCAGAGCGACATGGAGAAAATATGGAAGTGAGGAAAGCTCGACTACTTTACCAGAGCAGAAAGAGAGGAATGCTTGAGAATGGTCTTCTTCTTAGTACATTTGCTTCAAAATATCTAAGTGATATGACAGAGCGCCAGGTTGAGTTATACGACACACTAATAAACAAACCAAGTAATGACTGGGAAATTTATTATTGGGCAACGGGAAATAAGCCCACGCCAGAGGAATATCAAAGTGAAATAATGGACATGTTGAAGGAACACGCTAGGAACGAAGACAGGGATTGTAGGATCACTCAACCACCATTATTTTAATATTTAGTTGATGCAGTGACTGAGAACATGTTGAATGAGCCAATTGTGTTTTGTAATATTATGCTTTTAAAATGCCTATTTTGTTAGCCATATCTTGTTTTAAATTTCGAAAAACCATTAAAAGAAGTTGTTCAATATTTTTTTTCAAATATTTACTTCGAAAATGCAGTCAGGTAGAAAAGAAAAAAAGATTTTATGTAATTATCAATGTCAATATAATCGGATTCGGCATCCATAACTCTTGAGAATAGGGTAAAAGTAGTGAAGATGTGCCGAAACTCAAGGTCCCGAAATATCGTTCTGTACGATAGTTTATTATATCAGATGTAATATTTTCTTTCAATTTATATAAGGGATTAAGAAAGAATTATTGTCGAAAATTCGGTTCAGAAAATGGATGCATTTCATCTTTTCAACGCTCCCAATTAAAAATAATCGTTAAACCTGGAAAAAAATGTTCTAATTACTAAAAAAAAAAAAAAAAAAAAAAAAAAAAAAAAAAAAACAAAATTGGGCGTGTCTTTGCTGAAATTACAAAATTGTACACCAGGTTGCAAAATTGGACTATGTCGTACACGATTCTATGTTCTGAGAGGCGTTTTAAAAATGTCTTAAAATTAGAAAATCCCTTTGAGCTCCATAAGAAAAAATGTTTCATTGCAAAAAACAAAAACGCGTATTGTGTGTCATTATACTAGGCCAACGCGCGTTATATATATAATGCAAAATTCCACTCTCTACCATCGGCGTCGCCTGCGTGGCGCAGTGGTTAGAGCGTCTGCTCTAGAGTCGCGAGGTAAGGAGTTGATCCTTACGTCGCGGGTTCGAATCCCACTGTGGGACGTGGAGACCGGTCTTTCGGATGAGACCGTATAAACCGAGGTCCCGTGTCGCAGTAGGTGTTGGCACGAAAAAGATCCCTCACTGCTCAATGGCCGTAAGTGCCGAGCATAGGACAAGATTTGCAGCTCTCCACCGGCAAGTGGTGGCGTCTCCACATGAGTGAAAAATTCTCGAGAGGGACGTTAAACAACAAACAAACAAGCAAAATCTACCATCGGCTCATACATTCACGTCTGTCGTTGGCTCGCGTATATCACAGTGATAAGCACGAGAAATAGTGCGTTTGTTTTAATTCATTATAATTAAATGTCTGAACTAATGATAGTCCTTAAAGATAGATATTTACTAAATAAATATAAAATTCTTAGTTTAATTGAAATGTTATGTTTTTTACGTTACGTCAAGAATCTTGACGCGAGCCCATTGCAGAGGTGTCTGAGAGAAGAACGAACGACAACTCTGCATAGGAGATTGGCAAAACTCGTGTGTTTTAAGGTTTTGTCAAAGGTCAAGATGTCTAAAAATTTATTTTTACAATAGCTCCAAAACTATGTGGTTTATAAAGTTTCGTGCCCCCCGCCCCCCAATAATTTTGTCGATATATAGATTACTATAGTAAACATAGATACTATATGCTTGTGCCCCCTCAACCTCAATAAAAACGTCTGATGTTCTTTTTTTGCTTATCAGGAAAATTTTGGTAGTGCCCCCTCAACTGTCAACTGAAAATGTATGGCTGTGCCCCCCCCCCCCCCAACTGAATTTGCTTCCTACGGGACTGAATGATACATCTAAGAACGCACACTTCCATGCTTGCTTCAGATGCTGAATCTGACCTACATTTTCCAGAAGAGTGACCAGGTTAAAGTTTTTGGAGCAGGTCTCATTTCCAAATAACTTTAAGTCCTAAATTGACCAAACTTGCATGGATCATGCATCTAGGGATGCACCCTCCAGGCTTGCTTCAGATGCTGGATCTGACCTACATTTTTCGGATGAATGACCAGGATAAAGTTTTTGGAGCAGGTTTATTCTAAAGTAACTTTATGGCCTATGTACCACACTTGCATGGATGATACATCTAAGGATGCACACTACTGGACTTCCTTTGGATGCTGGAGTTTACCTACAATTTCCAGATGAGTGACCAAGTTAATGTTTTTGGAGCATGAAGGTCCATTACCAAGAAACTACTAGGCCTATCTGAAGCAAACTTGCATGGATGATGCATCACGGGATGAATACTCTCAAACTTGCTTCAGATACTGGATTTGACTTACATTTTCTGGATGAGTGACTAGTTTAAAGTTTTAGGTAAGCCCATTCCCAAGTAATTATACAAACCCTATCATACCAAAATTGCATAAATGTTACATCTAGGGATGCATACTACTAGATTATTAGTTTAGTGTAGGACTTTGCCTTATTTAAAGACAACATTTGTTGAGGTGAGCTCTGTAATCTCTGGTTACCTATGTTTGTTCACAAATATACCATGCCCTCGGTACTGATCCTTTAGTGGTTGACTTGGACTTTATAATTTATGCCGAGGTAATTTTTTTTAAGACTTTGTGAGCTTGGAGATTTTCTTCAGGATTCTATCCTTCATAGAAGAAATCTCCAAATCAGTTTCAATTTAATAAGATGCTTTTAAAGTGTACCTACTGTGCAACAATCCCTGACCGAGGAAAGACGAGTTATGAGGTGTACTAAATAACGTGTATTTAGGGGGGGGGGGGTGTTTACATTTACCATAATTCCCGAAATTTACGAAAAACTGTCAAAGTGATTGCATGATGATAACAATCATTTTTGCCCTCTTCTAAAATTTGTCTCTTGCTCAGGGTAGAGCTAAGTCAGTCATATTTTCAAAGTACATTACATGTACAATTTGTACATATATATCTTTGAAAATCTTAACTTACATGTAATTTTGAACATTAATCTGGCAAATGACGTTTGTAAGATTATGATGAACAGCTATCTCTTTCAAATAATGCTAGAATTCATGTCATAGGGTCTACGAGACAGGTCTCAGGGTGAGGCTTGTCACATGCGTCAAGTTCGGGGAAAAGGGGGGGGGGGGTGTAAGTACCTGAATAGCTCGAGAAACAGATGATACTTAGGTGAGCGTTCAAGAATATATAAAATATGGAGATAACTAACAGTATTCGAAACTAAAAGTCCATTTAAACAAATGAATACAAATCGGGAGCAGATCAAACATGGACCTCCTAAAACTTCACTGAGAGGTGGGATCAGGTGTCATGGAGGAGTGAGCTTCCCCTGCCGACCAGTCACATGCGCCGTGTGCTCCTTGTCAAGATCGGGAAAAATGGAAAAATCTGTAGACAATTCAGTATGTAAATAATGGCCTAACAATAAGTATGAAAAACGTCCGTTAGCATTTGACTCAATGATAGGTTGTATTTGCTGACAAGGTCATTAATTAATTGTATCGACCATAAAACTTGCGAAAACTTCAAAAGGGGAATGTTAATTGATATCCTTATGGGCCTCTTGTTGTTTCGTAATACAGGTTTTTAAAAGTCCTAATAATTTTTTTTATCTCGTAATTACGACTTTTTTAACTTCACTCGTAGTAACGATTTTTTTAATCTCGTCATTACAAATTAATGATCGGCATTCAGTTTTATCTCGTAATAACGACTTTTCTACAAAACGACTTTTTATCTCGTTATTACGACATTTTGTCTCGTTATTTCTCTACGTGTAATAACGATTTTTAAAATCTCGTTAGTCCGACTTTTTATTATTTATTTAATTTTTTTTTCATTTTCTCAATTTCACCTTTACTTTACTTATTTGGTTTACTTTATCAACCTGTTTCTTTTATGCATTATTAATTAATTGCAAAAACAAAACAAAAATTTAGCAGATCCGTGTGAAATAAGTTTAACTCTAAAGTGTTAAATAGTGTGTCTACTTTTACCAAATGCAAAATGGATGCCCAAGTTGGCGCAAAATTTGACAATTTGAAAGAAAGAAATCCTGTGCGATAAATTGCTAGTTAGAGATACAAAAATAGTGAAATAACATGAAATAGTAAGTGCTATTCAACAGGTAATCGTGATATATGTTGACTTTGGTTTAGTTAAAATGTAGCATTAGCAAAAGAGGTAAGGTCAAGGTGCAGTAACGGAACATGATGTGTTAAGTGAACGTCAAGGAACCATCAGAAACTCACCCATGTCTGCTGCTAGCGATGGGAGCGATCAAGATATGCACAGAGATTCCAACACACCATTACTCCCCCAGATCACGTCGAATTTGGTGCCATATTCGCCTCCTCGTATCGGGGTTTCACAACAGAATACAGTCTACAGATCCCCCTCTCACTCAAGAAATCAACAGACACTGGAGGGTTTCTTCATCGGGAGGCGACGAAGTGGAGGAGGTGATGATATGCCCTCAGTTAACCTAAGTTCTGCCCCTCCTTTACCCGTGTTCAGTATACCTGAAGATGCAATTTTACCAAGGGCAGTGGTAAGCAATGTGTACATTAGCTGCAGATCTGTAGCTTGCTGGTTTTAAAAAATGGGGATGGACGACCAGAGAGCTACAGTGCTACCCATTGAAAAAAAGTGTATATTTCTGACATGCAAAAAAGTACCCTGTTTCTTAATTTGTTTCCCTGTATATTTCAAAATATATTACCAACCATGTGTTCCTAACATATTTTTTTTACTACTTCCACAACAAAACTGCATGTAAAACTCATTCACGAAGTGCTTTGGACAAATTGTCATGTCACCCGAAATGGCAGTATAAATAGGTGAAATTTTCGATGGTCTTAATTTCATGCCCAGGTAGGCCATGAACAATGGTTTTGTGGAATGTTTTGTTGTTTGTTAGGAATATACCGTTAGTAATATTTTGATATGGCGGCTTAAATATACATGTAAACAAAAATAAATCAAGAAAATAGCACACATTTTTGTGTGCAATAAATGTACTCTTCTTTTTGCTATGGGTGGTACTGTAGCCCTCCAGTTGTCAATCCTAATTTTTTAAGACCAGCAAGCTACAGATCTGCAGCTATGTGTACATATATAAAGCAGAATGGTTGTCCAGAAAAAGTACCAACAGTCACAAAGTGATAAAAAAAGGGAAAAAAAACATTGCTAGATACATGTAATTCAAATAATTGAGGCCATATATGAAAATATACATAAAATATTTGAGAAATTTTGATTCTTGTTTGCATGATAAAGTTTATTGCAAAAGACGAAAAATATATATACTCTTTAATTATACTGAAGTGAAAAGCCAGCGATAAGGATTTTTTTTTATTGATTTAGGTTCCTGGTATTGGAGGGGAAAATGTGAACAATATTAGGGACAGATCACCCGAAGTTATTTCTAGTGAAGAGGAAGATTCAAGATCTTCGAACCAAGATGTGGTACAAAACTACTTATGCCTCAGCCTGCATATATGAGCTATTCTACAGTCGTTTGACCAGTTGCAAATAGGGAACCAATTAGCCGGTGCTGTAAATATATGACAGCATTATTTCAAAATCTAATTCATTTGTCAAAGTAGTTCAGTGACTTGCAGAATTAAATGTTGTTTCATAAAAGTTCGGCCTTTCAAAAAAAAAAAATTATTTTAGCAAGTTAAAATGGGTACTCATTTTAACTAATTAAGAATAAGCTGACGAGTTCTGAATACCTTAGCGGTTCCCATGCAATTTGACCCTAAATTAAAAATATCCATCTCACACATTATCAATTGACATGCCTAGGAAAAGTTAAAATGCTTACCAGTAAGTAAAGTGGTATTTCCAAAGGATAAAGAGAAATAACAGTCACATTTACAATGAAGAAATAACAGAAAACTAACGTATTATATAGTGTTTATAATGGGTATTCGGAACTAGTAAAATGACAACACGAAATATTCTGATATCTTCCAGTGGTCTAATTATTTTTTGCAAACTTTTGGTATTTGTTAAAATACATATGAAACTTACTTTTGATAGTTGAAATGTTTTATGTGAAAAATTGACGTCTTTACAGATGTTTTTCTGCAGACAAACGTGTCGCAGCGATTCAAATTTGTTGCATTGTAAAAGCACGTCACCTGTTTCAAGTACAATAGAGAACACAAACTGACGGCAAAGAATCAAAACTTCACATAATTCTAACACTCATAGATAAGCCTTCATACCATATGTATGAATTCGTGTTTACACTTTTGAATTTATTAGTTATCAGCTCTTAAATTATTAATTATTCAGAACTGATCAAAATTCGGAACTGGTCAAATGACTGTTATAATTTTAATGATGAAATGAGGTGTTATTTTCTTTTATTTAAGGACATAAGCAATGTACTTTGTACTTTATTGTCTTTTCCCCTGGAGTTGAAGAGTTCCAATACTTAAAGGAACTGTGTGCTACATTTTAATTCTATATATGCTTTTGTACACTTCTTCTAAAACAAGTTTGGATAAACAAAACATCTAGAATATATGTTCAGTAATTTTTGTATATTTTCTTTGAATTATACAAGAATTTTCATCGATATCTTTTCATAACCCCTGGTAATGCATGCTGATTTTTTGTCTACGAACATCTGATGGGTCTATAATTTAAATTAAGAATATCTTGAAAAATTATCAGTAGGTAAGGTAAGTTACGTATGTCCTTAAGAGATATTTTTTAAAAAGAATTATTTGCTGCCAATCTGCAACAAGGTTCTGATCTGAAGTTCTTTTCATATTTATACAACAATTACAGATCCTTCTAAGGAAAGGAAACTGTTAAAAGGAAAAGAATAAGCTGTTATATCTATTTGCAAAAATATACATACATTTTCAATTTTAAGGAAATTCTTTCTAACCCTGACGAGGAAAATTCCAATTCATCCCAAGAAAATCTTCCATCAGTAGAAAATCATGAACCAGAGGCAACATCTGGTGCCCAGGACACTTTACAACCATCTTCCCAGGGCCAACAAACCTTGGCTCCAGTCCCAGCAGCTAATGTTCTGTCAGTGCATGTCACCACCAACTCCCCTTCAGATTTCAGAACTCCAAAACGAAGGAGGGTAATGTCAACCCCAGAAAAACCAGGGGGAGCCACAGGTGGACCAGAAGATGATAGCGAGGATGGAAATGTGAGAGGATTATATAGTGTAGAAAATTGATCCTTATACACTGTCTGAAGAACTCCGGTATACTTGCATGCTTATTTTGTAGAAATTTTCAGGTTTCTTATACATGTTATAGTCAAAGGAAATGCTCGCCTTTATTTATTTGCATTTAATGCCATACAAGTTAAAAATTATATTTACCTGTAAAATGTTCGTCTATAAGAGACTGATACAATTGATTTTTCTCTGGTCTTGAAAGGTGCAAGAGAAAATATTTCTAGTAGTTGTTCATATATTTTAGTGTTGCCCTATCTGCTTTGAAGAGTGGTCAACTTCAGGATCTCACAGACTAGCATCTTTGAAATGTGGTCACTTGTTTGGACAAAGGTGACTTTTCTGTAGATTACCATACTCAACCCATGCCCCTTAGACTCCTCCCCCCTTTCTTTATACACACACATGAAATGAAATCTGTTGATACAAAAAAAAAACTCCAACAAAAATTCCTGAAAAGAAAGTAGAAAAGATCTACATATCATAATTCTTTTAGTGAAAATAAACAGTGCATATGTTATAAATAAGCATGGTACTCAACAAATAAAATTTAAACTGAAAATTGTGAGCAAATGCTTTTTCTCATCAGTTGTATAATATATTTATATAAAAGGGATGATTTGATTCTGGTTTATTTTAGCTGCATAGAGAAATGGCTGAAAGGACAAGGTGGAAAATGTCCCCAATGTAACTGTAAAGCCAAAAGGCAAGACATAAGAGTCCTCTATGCCAAGTCACTAAAGGTATTTCTAAATATTCTGTGTTTCTGTATATTACATTGCATTGTAAGAACTGAATGAAGAGTTCTTAGAATAAGATAATTAGTGTGTTCAGTAACCATTTTTAGCTCACCTGAGCCGAAGGCTCAAGTGAGCTTTTCTGATCACATTTTGTCTGTAGTCCGTCTGTCCGTCTGTCTGTCTGTCTGTCTGTCCGTCCGTCCATCTGTAAACTTTTCACATTTTCGACTTCTTCTCAAGAACCACTGGGCCAATTTCAACCAAACTTGCCACAAAGTATCCTTGAGTGAAGGGGATTCAAGTTTGTTCAAATGAAGGGCCATGCCCTCTTTCAAGGGGAGATAATAAAGAATTAGTGAAAAATTAATAGCATCTTTTAAAAATCTTCTTCTCAAGAACCACAAAGCCAGGGAAGATGAAACTCATGTGGAAGCATCCTCAGGTAGTTTAGATTCAAGTTTGTTCAAATCATGACCCCCGGGGGTAGGGCGGGGCCACAGTGGAGGATCAAAGTTTTACATAGAAATATATAGGAAAAACCTTTAAAATCTTCTTCTCAAGAACAGCAAAGCCATGATGAGTCATATTTATATGGAAGCATCCTCAGGTAGTGTAGATTCAAGTTTGTTCAAATCATAACCCCTGGGGGTAGGGCGGGGCCACAGTGGAGGATCAAAGTTTTACATAGAAATATATAGGAAAAACCTTTAAAAATCTTCTTCTCAAGAACAGCAAAGCCATGATGAGTCATATTTATATGGAAGCATCCTCAGGTAGTGTAGATTCAAGTTTGTTCAAATCATGACCCCCGGGGGTAGGGCGTGCCACAGTGGAGGATCTAAGTTTTACATAGAAATATATAGGAAAAATCTTTAAAAATCTTCTTCTCAATAACAGCAGAGCCATGATGAGTCATATTTATATGGAAGCATCCTCAGGTAGTGTAGATTCAAGTTTGTTCAAATCCTGACCCCCCGGGGGTAGGGCGGGGCCACAATGGTGGATCAGAGTTTTACATAGAAATATATAGGAAAAATCTTTAAAAATCTTCATCTCAATAACAGCAAAGCCCTAATTGGTCATATTTATATGAAAGCATCCTCAGGTAGTGTAGATTCAAGTTTGTTCAAATCCTGACCCCCCGGGGGTAGGGCGGGGCCACAATGGAGGATCAAAGTTTTACATAGAAATATATAGGAAAAATCTTTAAAAATCTTCTTCTCAGGAACAGCAAAGCCCTGATTGATCATATTTATGTGGAAGTATCCTCAGGTAGTGTAGATTCAAGTTTGTTCAAATCCTGACCCCCTGGGGTTAGGGCGGGGCCACAATGGAGGATCAAAGTTTTACATAGAAATATATAGGAAAAATCTTTAAAAATCTTCTTCTCAGGAACAGCAAAGCCCTGATTGATCATATTTATGTGGAAGTATCCTCAGGTAGTGTAGATTCAAGTTTGTTCAAATCATAACCCCCTGGGTTAGGGTGGGGCCACAATGGAGGATAAAAGTCTGAAATAGAAATGTATAGGAAGATATCTTCTGATGAAGAACTGCAAAGCCATGATTAGTCATTTTGATATGGAAGCATCCTCAGGTAGTGTAGATTCAAGTTTGTTAAAATGATGACCCCAGGGGATAGGGATGGGCTATAATGGGGGATCGAAAATTTTGCATAGGAACATATAGGAAAATATCTTCTTCTCAAGAACTGAAAATCATGTTTAGTCATTTTGATATGGAAGCATCCTCAGGTAGTGTAAATTCAGTTTTGTTCAAATGATGACCCCCGAGGGTAGGGTGGGGCCCAATAGGGGGATCAAAAGTTTTACATAAGAACATATAGAAAAAAATTTCTTCTCAAGAACAGAAAAGCTATGTTTAGTCATATTGATATGGAAGCATCCTCAGGTAGTGTAGATTCAAGTTTGTTCAAATGATGGCCCCTGGGATAGGGAGGAGCCACAATGGGGGATCAAATTTTTACAAAGGAATATATGGGAAAATTTTTTAAAAATCATCTCAAGTACAACAAAGCCATTTGTTATATTGACATGGAAGCATCATCAGGTAGTTTAAAATTCAAGCCCCCCCCCCTTCCCCCCGTAATCTTTTCAATACTGAACTGATTTGTGCTTCTGCCTTGCCAGTGTGCTTAGGTGAGCGATGTGGCCCATGGGCCTCTTGTTATTGAAGGTTATTATTGAAGTATATATATTTCATTTAATGTGTTTATGTTGTGTGACTTTGTGGAATGATTGTTGCTGTGATTTTGTCCTGGCAGGCTGTAGATACGACAGAGCGTGACAGGGCACTACAAGAGCTAGAAAAAGAAAAAGAAGTCCGTCGGAAAGTAGAAATGGAGGCTGCTCAGTGTCGCCTGCAGTACCAGATGGCTATTGAAGAATGTAACAGACTGAAAGCCGAGATAGATAAACTCAAACGTCAATTACAGTCTACAAAGTAAGTCATAGAGGAATGTAACAGACTGAAGGCCGAGATAGTTAAACTCAAACATCATTTACAGAGTACAAGGTAAGTCATAGAGGAATGTAACAGACTGAAGGCTGAGATAGATAAACTCAAACGTCAGTTACAGTGTACAAGGTACGTCATAGAGGAATGTAACAGACTGAAGGCTGAGTTAGATAAGCTCAGATGTCAGTTACAGAGTACAAGGTAAGTCATAGAGGAATGTAACAGACTGAAGGCTGAGATAGATAAACTCAAACGTCAGTTACAGTGTACAAGGTACGTCATAGAGGAATGTAACAGACTGAAGGCTGAGAGAGATAAGATGTCAGTTACAGAGTACAAGGTACGTCATAGAGGAATGTAACAGACTGAAGGCTGAGATAGATAAACTCAAATGTCAGTTACAGAGTACAAGGTAAGTCATAGAGGAATGTAACAGACTGAAGGCTGAGATAGATAAACTCAAACGTCAGTTACAGAGTACAAGGTACGTCATAGAGGAATGTAACAGATTAACAGTTATTGCATACTAGAAGATAATTTGAGTAAAATAAAGTTTGACATGATCAAATATTGGAAATGTTATATAAAATGATAGAATCTCAATGATTGTAGCTGTATGATATAAAGGTAAAATGTATTTTGACCATTTCATCAATCCTGATTTCAGAGTGATTGAGGTATCTATCAAATCAAACAGTGATTGACAATGTATTCATATTTTAGTTTTGTTATTTTAGGAACACACTATTTTAGATTAACATTATAAATATTTTGTAGGTCCGATTCTTCCTCAGGTGCAGCACAGTCTCAGTCTCAATCAAGAGACATCAGTGGCCACTTTGTGCCAGACAAAACCATCAAAATTTGGGAGGTGAGATAACGATATACTCATATAATGTAAACACCTATTGTTAAACATTTTGCTCTGTTGTTTTGGCAAAATGCTTGTCTTATTCTGTCATTATAATGGTTGAATGGGTTTAAAAAAAATTTAAATATTGAGCTGTCTTGAAGGCTGGTAACTGCCGTGTGATGTCATACACCCCCTCCCTGGCCACACTTGTTGTCTCCCAACCATCATCCAGTCCCTTATTTCCTGGATTTGGCTTCAAAAAGGCAAGATTTCTCTCTATTTTGGCCAGTCAGTTGTAAGATATGCAGAGGGCTGGCTTGTACTAAATTTATATTGTATTTAATTGATTCACAGATCAGCAGTATGGATTTTAAGACCTCACAGTACCTGACTATACACAATAAGGCAATCCGAGACTGTTGCTTTCATCCGTTTGTGGATGATGGAATCTTGCTGAGCTGTGGATTAGATAAGACAGCTAAAATGACGAGTGTCATCAGCAACACGGTTGTCCAGACGTAAGAACTGATCAACCAGATTATTATCTGTAAAAAGTCTTTTTGGAGGGGGGAGATAGAAAGGGTTATTTATATGCTTTAAGGTTCAGATACTCTGATAAAAGAGATAATTCTTAATGAGATAAATGTCGATTATTCCTTTATAAATTTGTCAAATTGAAATATTTTGGCAAGTTTTGCCCCACAAGCTATACTAAACTTGTCTGTACTTTACTTATAAAATAACATTTTTGGAAAATGATAAGAATTAAAGTAACATTTTGTATGAGTGAACAGAGAGTTTATGAACCTTAAAGAATGTTTTCTGGTTTTTTTTGACATTCATAGATAATATGTACAGGTGTGCATATGTAAGCGTAACATGTACATTTACATGTATTTCTAATAGAAGCAATGTAAAGGAACTGAATTCAAGATAAAGTTATAATATAAAGAACAGAATATTAAGAGAAAAATACCTCTGCTTATAACACCATTGTTGTATAGATATGATCTTCCCAATCCTGTTTGGAGCTGTGTATGGAACACAGATGATAGAAACTTTTTCTATGCTGGACAAGCTAATGGGAATGTGATGGAGTTTGACATTCGGAACACCTCTGAACATGTCCAGGAACTAAACACTGAGGGTATGAGGTCACCTGTAGTCTCCTTACAGTACATTCCAAAAGACATCCAAGCTAGCTTCAGGTAGTTTGCAAACTTTTGGATATTTGATTATCGTGTACAATTCTGTATGCTTCAAGATTCCTAGGAGAAAGATTTGTTTGAATCTATTAGAGTCATTAGCATCAGTGATACTGTAAAGTGTAATTCACCAAATTATTGCAACACGTTATTTTCGCGAGAAAGTTGTATTTATAATCGAGACAAAATTTTCGCAGTTACTAGTTACTGTTTTATATATTCTTTATTAAACTGTTTTATATATTCTTTATTAATACTATTTTATGAGAGATTTAAATTTTTGTGAGCAGATATCCTCACTTTTTTACATGAAAATGAAGTTCTCACGAATAAAAAGTGATTTTCAGTAAACAATTGGATTTGATATCAGTGCTGAACTGCTCATTAAACAAAATTTACTGACTTCAAACTTTGTATGAATTAAAATAGAATAGCCTGCTTGAATTGACACAAGAAACTGATTAATTCTTTCTCAGACCTGATGGTTTAGCATTTTGTTGAAATGATGCAACAAATGGCTTGTTCTTTTATCATTCATTGTGGTGTGGCATTTTTGTAATATATATATATATATATATATATATATATATATATATATATATATATATATATATATATTAGGGATGTCAAAATATTTATATTCTTTAGTCGAATAGTCGATTGCATTATTCGAACGATAGTCGAATATATTCGAAACTAAAATTTTATTTCAAACTTCACTGGTACATCACATATTTAACACCAAATCCCCCCCTTTTTTTTTAATTTATTAAAAAGTTACATCAAATGTTACACACAGATGTTCACATGGACCTAAAATGTGGATAGCGTGTTTTTATTTACTTAATATAGACCGCTAATTTCTCCAAAATGCATGATTTCTCCGTCAATCATGTTCATAAATCGGTCTGTAAAGTCGGTTTTTTAGGAAGCATAAAAAATTGACTGTGCGATATATCTTTTTAAAGCTTATTAAAATGATGGGGGGGGGGGGGGGGCACACACGGTGTTTGTGATACATTGTAATGTTAAATATTTGAATATATACGTTTTATACCAACTATCAAAATGTCTTTAACATATGTAAAAGAATATTAATTTTATAATAATTATCGTAGTGTCCAAACATGTCACGGCTATAATGGGTACATGGTATGGTTTGTTCCCATAGTATGAGATCAAGTCCAATTAATAATTTTACAAAGAAAGCGCAGTATAGCAAGATAATTTTATTACAAAAACAACACATTAATTGACAAATAATTCTCGCGGAAGTGAAGCATTTCTAATCACTGTACTTTCTACATGTAAAGTCAGCAGTTTTTAATGAGGAAAATTATCTTATCGAGGTTGAGAATTCCATCTCTTTATCACTCTTTTATTGAATTTAATTATTCGAATGTCGTTTTGTTATTCGATCGTCGGTCCTTTCGACTGATGGTCGAATAGTCGACTATTCGTTGACATCCCTAATATGTATATATATATATATATATATATATATATATATATAATTCCTCTCTCAGACCTGGTGGTTTAGTGGTGGGGCAGCTGAACAAGATAAGTTTCTATGAGAAGAAACCAGACAACCAGTACAGACTACATATGCTACCATTAGAGGGTAAGATATCTCCAGTAGTACAAAATAGATACAGTATGAGCAGGAATAGTAGGAAAGGGGGGTGGCTAGTTTTAAATTTTACTCACATGAAATTGATTAACTTTTTTTTATGTATTGTACCTGATGTTGTATCCTTTAATCAGGACTTATATATTGTGTGGAAATTTTGGAAAGTCAAAGTGAATACAAATTATATGTTTCAGTTAAAGAAAACTATACAAAAGCAACAAATTTTGCTAATTTTGTTTGTAGCAAGCTATAGTGCAATTTGTTTTCAGGTAACTTGACAAGTCTGTGTTTTGAGAATCACACAAGGCACCTGTTGGCCAGTTTCAGACCAACATCCAAACACCCCACAGTTAGACACCAGGTAAGTAACATCCAAATACCTCACAGTTAGACACCAGGTAACTAGCATCCAAACACCCCACAGTTAGACACCAGGTAAGTAACATCCAAACACCCCACAGTTAGACACCAGGTAACTAGCATCCAAACACCCCACAGTTAGACACCAGGTAAGTAACATCCAAACACCTCACAGTTAGACACCAGGTAAATAGCATCCAAACACCCCACAGTTAGACACCAGGTAACTAGCATCCAAACACCTCACAGTTAGACACCAGGTAACTAGCATCCAAACACCCCACAGTTAGACACCAGGTAAGTAACATCCAAACATCCCACAGTTAGACACCAGGTAAATAGCATCCAAACACCCCACAGTTAGACACCAGGTAACTAGCATCCAAACACCCCACAGTTAGACACCAGGTAACTAGCATCCAAACACCCCACAGTTAGACACCAGGTAACTAGCATCCAAACACCCCACAGTTAGACACCAGGTAACTAGCATCCAAACACCCAATGATTAGACATCAAGTAACTAACATCGAAACACCCCACAGTCAGACGTGCTTTTACTGTAGACACGCTCATTAGTAAACATAAGTATCAAAGAGCCATAGTGCATTTGATAGGCATTTTCACCTACTCTAGTAGTGATTTCTTAAACAAAATAATCAAAAGTTTGTCATACAATCTTAGTTTGAACACATGTAATTACACAATAATGATACATAAATGTTGATTGTTCCCCTATGTGATAAACATAAAACTTACCGAGTTTATATGGAGTTTATAGTAAATATTGAGGTATCTATCTATTAAACAATGACATAATGTTGACAAAGACCACCCTTAACCAGAATAACTTTATATGGGTATGATTGCACTTCATTACATTTAGATAATTTTGGTTGAAGGTGGTCTTCATATTGAAAAATGATGAAAATAAATATTAACTTTTCATTCTCATATTATTCTAAGTTTTGGTTATCTGTCTTTAATTTATCCTTCCAATATCAATGATCTCTTATGGCATAGTGGTATGACTGCTGGAACATAGATGTGGTTATTCCAAGTTCGAGCCCAACATTTTCCATTTATGCCTTTTTTTTTAAAAATTTTCTTTATGTATCTTTTCTACATTTTCTTCATTTTTTTTTTTTTATAATAAACATAATTCCATAAAGTTTTAATATAAATGTTGCACTTTCAAAAATATCCCGGGAAAAGACAGTTGTAAACAATTTCATGTAATTTTGCAGATTCATGGCTACTTGTTATATTTTTACTGATTTTCTAAGCCTTTTATTTCAAAATTAGAGTTTGGTTGATCTTGATCTATAAATAGAAACGGGTGATTTCCTTTTAAATTCTTGAGTAGGCCGTGTTGTCAGAAGGGAGCTATGGTTCTTTGTAAAATAATTTTTTTTCATTATTGTGTAACTAGTTGTCATTTAAAAATTTTCTACTGTAGGTTTTGTTTTTCTTTTTATTTTAATTCCAAATAATTTTAACCATGACCTTTTTATTGGTAGCTATGTGAGATGACCTGTGTGAACCTAAGTGCTGACCCTGCTGTTATTGACAACGGCTGTAGTTGTCATGTCATTCAGACATTCCATGGCAGCCAGACACAGACAGTACTGACACGAGCACTTCTAATGACTCACCCAGCAGATGACAGTCGAATGTTAATCTGTGCTGGAGTGGAAACAACCTCAGGGGTAAATATTGATACCTGGATAAGATCTCTGGCTACATACTGTAAAAAGGGTGATTTCTAGAGGTGTCTAATTTTTTTTCACAGTTTTTGAGTTCAGGCTGAATCCCAAAGTTATTCATCTCTCTTATTTGTAGTATTGCTACATGTCAATGGAAAATTGCAAAAAAATATTAATTATTTTTAGAATAAGATCTAAAATGAAAAAAAGTGTGTATGTGTACATGTATATTTCTGAAGAACTATTTTTGATTTCTGTTTTTAGGTCCACATTTGGGACACATCGTCTGGTCAGCTTGTTCAGCGGTTGCCAGCTGGTGGGATCGTGGTGGATACTTGTGCCATGACAATCAACCAGCAAGCATATCTAGCTGCACTGACAGAGAAAAACCTTAAAATTCACCGATGGTGCTGATTCCTCAGAAATACCTCAACCAACTTTGAATCAGGTCATGTGTTCTAAGGTTTAAAATTCACAGCCTGTCTTCTATTTCAGAGTGGACAGGTGTTGTATTTTCATACTGAGTGTAGTGAAAAACAGTACCGTTAGTACTGAAAGGCTAATATTTTGACTGTGATATTAACAGCCAATTTAACCAGTGGATGGTCCCAGAAGTGTTCATAAAGCACCATGTCTTTCAGGATAAGAGTACGAGTGACTGCATGCTGTGTATGTTATGTTTAATCATGTAATTACATTCACATACAAGCCCCCTGAAGAAATAAAAGAACTTTTGTTCAAGATTCTCTGTACTTCATTTTTTAAAAAAAATATATTTAGAGGTCATAGGTGGTTCCGGCTAACATGAATGAACATTATTCTGATTTATAGGTAAATAACAGAAAATCAAAGGAAGATACAATTAAACTTCGGTATCTCAAAAACTGATTATCTCGAATACCATGGATATGTGGAAGTGATTTAGAAGTCCCAACCACTTGTTCTTTTAGTATTTTACCACTGATATCTCGAATCCTCGGATATCTCGAAGTTTTTTCTCGATCCCATAGAGTTCGAGTAAACGAGGTTTGACTTCAGTTCCATTTTGAATTCACATTGTTTAGAAAGGACTAGAACATTAGAAAATCTCTCTTTTTTGGTTTGTTTTGTTTTTAGGTTTTTGTTTGTATGTATGTTGTTTAATGTCCCTCTCGAGAATTTTTCACTCATGTGGAGACGCCACCACTTGCCGGTGGAGAGCTGCAAATTTTGTCCTATACTCGGCACTTACGGCAATTGAGGGATCTTTTTCGTGCCAGCACCTACTGCGACACGGGACCTCAGTTTATACGGTCTCATCCGAAGGACCGGTCTCCACGTCCCACAGTGGGATTCGAACCCGCGACGTAAGGATCAACTCCTTACTTCACAACTCTAGAGCAGACGCTCTAACCACTGCGCCACGTGGGCGACTTTTTAGGTTTTTGTATTTTTTTAATAATTTTATTAGAAATTGGAATATCCATATCTGCAATGTTTTTTGAATTCAATACACACCAGCACACTAACTTGGTCCGTTATCTTAATACATGTATACCAATATTAGTACTTTATTACAATAAATAGAGTTCATTATATGTACATATATACAAAAGTAGCTGCCTTTCCCACGTAATTTATTGCAGAATTTGAGTTATAACATGTGGTGCACTTTCTGCAAGTTATTTGCCTGTAAGAAAAGAAACCGAAATTGTGGACATTACAAAACACAAAAAGGAAGTTTTTGTTACATTTATTTATATGTTGGAAGTGTGTTTAATATGCTTTCTTTGAAATAAAAATGTTTTTGTTCAAACTTACCAAAGCCACCGAATTTGATGTTGAGATAATTCGGCATGTGATCATCTTCATCTCTTTTATGGTTGGCTTTTTTCTTCAGGAAGGTAGACACTACATCTTCAATTGTCTTCAGTGATATTGCCTGTAGAAGTTAGAAATACAAGCTTTCTTTAATGAGCTAAAACATAGCATGTTTGGACAAATGTTAATCTATGTGTAATATAAGAAAAACACAGTACTGTGGAATTCGATATAGTACAGCCTCTGCCAAATGCTTACTACCAACTGCTCACTGCCACCGATTTTAGATGATATTGCTTATTTTGTTTGTTTTTTTTTTTATTTTGCCTAGGGTAAAATATCTCCACTTCACTTCTTAAGCTTCATATGTATGACTTTTCCTACCAAGTTAACAGGGGTCCGCGTTTTCTAGGGGTGGAGGTGGGGGGTTCCAAGGTCACTTTAAGTTGCTTTAGTATATACATTTAATAACTCCCCCCCCCCCCTTCTAGATCCGCGTATGTATAAGCTGTGGCAGTAAGCAGGTTACAACGGTTGGCTATGGTACATGGAATTCCATACAGCCCCCTCCCCATTTTTAGGTTTGTTTTTACTACTTATTTTTGCGTATTTTAATGTAACCTTGACCCCTCTGTAATTATAATCAATGTTGCCGTAGGAAACGTAAATCATTTTCATAAATAATTATCATATGATAATGTGCATTCATTGTACTTTTCGGGGCTCACAAGATACATGTACGTCACTTTGTAGCGCAACAATATGTATGCCGCTGAAATAGTACTGTTCACATACATGTATACTGGGTACAACTTAATAAAGAAGAATCTCAAAATCAATGTCAATAGGTAAACAATAATACTTTTGTTAGATCTCCTTACGTATATGTAATTTTTTTGCATATTGATACATAGGAATCATCATACTAATAGTGTTTTATTATTATACATACACCTGTGCCGTTAGATGTTTCTAGGACCATTCTCATTACATCTCCCAGCATTTTATCTTCCGTCTCTTTGATCAGCTCCACAATCTCCCCATAAAACCTACATATTACAAGAATGGAAATACATTGTATATAGTTGTAAGATAAAATCAGTAGACTAAAGTATGTGTACATCACATATTTTCCTTATTTTCATATTCTTACTGTGGTGTATTTTTCCATGTTATTTCCTTTGTCAGTTCATTGAGCAGTTGTGTTTCCAATGTTGATTTCACCGTGTTCTCAACTGAAAACGAAATATTTATAAATTTAGTAACTTACTAGATCTGATGGGGTGGGGAAATTGAAAAGTTTGGAGGAAGAGTTGAGATACGTGCCACTGGATACATGAGAGTGCTTCTACGATGCAACCCACCCTCCCCTTTAATGATTTTTTAAATAAATTTTTTTATGTGATTTTTAAACAGGAACATGTGGATGAAGAGGTAAAATATTTAAAAATACATGCATTTAAAAACAAATGATAAACAAGATGTGTTTGTGAAACACTGATGCCCCGTTTGGCAGCTTATGGCGAAGGTTAAAGTTTCTCAGATGCAAGTCAAACTCCAACGTCTAGGTCAAGGTCAAGAGATCAAAAATGTTGTTACCCAAAGAAAGAACTTGTATCAATGGATATACTTGGTAAATATGAAATCCCAAGCACCAACCATTCAAAAGATATGGTCAAGGTTAATGTTTTCTAATAGTAGGTCAAACTCCAAGGTCAGAGGGTCAATATTAATGTTACACAGGGGAAGACCTTGTCATAGAAATACACATGCAAAATATAAAAGCTTTAGCACAACTCTTCAAAGGTTATGGCGAAGGTTAAAGAGGCCTTGACACACTTGCATTGTTTACATTTTAAATTTCTTTGATTATTCAAAAAATAAAACCAGTCAAATGAATTGAACTTACATGAATATTCTTAGAATTCAATGACAATGACATTCTTTTTTTTTTTTTTTTTTTTTTTTTTTTTTTTTTTTTTACATCACGTCAAATTAACATCTGTTTTTGTAAACAGGGCACGAGCTCTGTTATTGTTAATGTTTACGTTTTTCCGGGTGTGTTCAATTTGTTTAACTCTGCACACTTCACTGAGCACGGACTGACAATACTGGTGAGTTGGATTTGCTTTCTCACATTTCTCCTCTGAATTTTCTGGATTATAGTTTTAATATTTTTTATTACACATGTAATACACAACAAAATTTCTACTTTTCTTATTAAGGATAAAGTTTACTTTGTGAAGAGCAAGGAATTTTGTCAAAGCGTCCCGAAATTCATAGTTTTAATAATTTCTAGATAAAAGAAGTTTCTGAGCACGCTTTTGTTATATTTCCGTGTGAAGTGCTTTAGCAACATGTAAGTCATGATAATATACAGAAAATTTGAGAAAATTTTAACTTCAAGTATGTGTCCAAGCCCCTTTAAAGTTTTTCCAAAGTAGGTCAAACTCCAAGGTCAAAAGGTCAAAATTGTTTGTATCCAAACGAAAGTCTTGTCAAAAGGAGTATACCTCTGAAATTTGAAAGCCCTGGTACTAACTGTTCAAAAGTTATGGCCAAGGTTAAAAATTTTTTTTATTAAAGTCGGTCAAACTCTAAGGTCAAATTCATAAGATCAAAATATTTACACCCATGGACAGGTCTTGTCACACTAAATACACTTGTGAAATATGAAAGCCCTAGCACCAATTGTTCAAATGGCCAAGGTTAAAGTTGGGTAATTTTTTTTTGCAAAAGTAAGTCAAACTCCAAGGTTAAATATGTTGGTACCCAAAGCAAGGTCTTGTCACAAGGAATACACATGTGAAAATGAAAGACATAGCTCCAACCAATCAAAAGTTACGGGCAAGTTTTTACTGAACAAACAGACAGACGGACGGACAAGGCAAAAACTTACCCCCAAATATTCGATACGGGGGCATATAAATCATTAAAGTGGAGGGAGATTGTTGCATCGTAGAACGTAGAAGCACGGTACTGTCCACAAGTACTTCTTCCACTGGAATGGGTCACCGTATTGACACAGTACAAATGCATACTATATATGGTTCACATAATTACATGTACAAGTTGTATATATGTTCAGAAGGCAAGGGTATCTTCAGTACAGACTCTATCTCAATTGAAAATTAGTATCCAATATCCTTCGCAATTCAAATACAAAACGACAAAATATGATACACGCGGAGACTAGAAAAATAACCCCCTTCATCTCTCAGTAAAATGTAGAGAAAATATAAAAGCCAATGCCGATATCCTTGTCAAGTACAAAAGAGAATTGGACAGGCAAGAATAAAATTGTGTGGAGGATCCTGGAAGGCTCGTTTTCTCTCATGTCTATACAAAATAAAGACTCCGGGGGGGGGGGGGGGGGTTAATTATTTAGTGGGGGTTGAGAAATAGTTTTGAAATATACATATATCTAAACTGACATTCGATTTTATTTACTCCACAGTAATTTTGGTAAAACATTTGTCAAAAATTGGGAGGGGGCATAAAAAAAATCTTTGTGACCCACTTCTGAAAGGGGGGGGAGACTTCCATTGTAGCTCTGTCTTTCAAAACTGCAAAGAATTTCCGTCCATATTTTGTACTTCATGAATCATAACATGAACTATGTACTGACTTTAATTTGTTTTTTCTATCTGTCTTGATTCCTTGTTTAGACTTTTCAATGAATCCGTCATGCACCAACATGTAGCATCGCATTTTTAAAGGTGAGGTGGGGGGGGGGGGAGAAAAGTAGATTGACAAGATACCCGGAAAAAAACTCTGACAAGCAAAATAAACAAAAGGCTCATGGCCACATCGCTGACCTGAGCACTATGGCTAGAGAAAAACAGAAATCAGTCAGTATTGAAACATGGAGGGGCATGGTTTGAACAAACTTGAATTTACACTAACTGAGGATAATTGATATTTATAAGACTTATCATGGCTTCAGAAGATTACCTATATATTCCTATGTAAAAGTTCGATATTCTATTGTGGTCCCGCCCTACCCCATGAGTGATGATTTGAACAAACTTGAACACTACCCGAGAATACTTCGATATCGATATGATTAATCGTAGCTTTGCTGTCCTTGAGAAGATGATTTATAAAGATTTTTTTCCTATATATTCCTTTGTAAAAGTTTGATCTCTTATTGTGGCCCCGCCGTACCCCGTGGGTCATGATTTGAACAAACTTAAATCTAAACTACTTTGAGAATGCTTCCATATTAATGTGACTAATTATCATGAGTTTGCTGGTCTTGAGAAGATTTTTAAAGATGTTTCCTATAAAATCCTATGTATAACTTCGATTCCTTGTTGTGGCCTCACTCTACCCTGGGGGTCATGATATGATCAAACTTGAATCTACACTACCTTGAGAATGCTTCCATATTAATATGACTAATAATCATGCGTTTGCTGTTCTTGAGAAGATTTTTAAAGATGTTTCCTATAAAATCCTATGTATAACTTCGATTCACTCTACCCTGGGGTCATGATATGAACAAACTTGAATCTACACTAACCTGTGGATGCATCTGTATTATTATGACTAATCATGGCTTTGCTGTTTCTGAGAAGATTTTGACAGCTATTTCCTATATACATGTATTCGTATCTGTACCTTTGATTCCCTTTTGTGGCCTCACCCTAACCCCGGGGGTCATGATTTGAACAAACTTGAATCTCAATACCTGAGGATGCGTCTTTATTAATATGACTAATCATGGCTTTTCTGTTCTTGAGTAGAATATTTTCAAAGAATTTTCCAATATATTCATTTCTAAAACTGTGATCGCCTATTGTTGCTGCGCCCTAGCCCCGGAGGTCATGATTTGAAGAAACTTGAATTTACACTACGTAATGAAGCCTTCACTTAAGTTTCAACTTTTCTGGCCCAGAAAAGTTTTAGATCCAGTTTAGATCTTGAGAAGAAGATGCCTTTAAATTTTCACTAATTTTTAATTATCTCCCCTTGAAAGAGGGCGTGGCCCTTTCTTAGAACAAATTTGAATCCCAAGAATGCTTTGTGGCAGGTTTGGTTGAAATTTGTCCCGTAGTTCTTGAGAAGTCGAACATGTGAAAAGTTTACAGACAACACACGACAGACGGACGGCGGACACCCTTCTATCAGAAAAGCTCTTAGGCTTAGGTGAGCTAAAAGGAAGATCTTTCAAACTCTAAAAAGTTAATTTAAGTTATAGAGATTGAACATAAAAGAATGGGGAAGGGGGTGGCTTTCTAATGAAAATTTCCATACTAAATTAGAAGCAACAGTTGTCAAAAAGTAGGCGGGCATCTGACTCCCCCTGATACATATGATGACACAAAACCTTAAAAATTTGTAACACCTACGTGTAGATAAAAATGACTTCTTCTTAGTGATGGCCGCGGACTGAACCTGTAAGCAGGTTGTCACCAGGCAGACCAATAGAGTGGTGTATCTCATAGTTTCGTGTAAGCTCTGAAAATGAAGAAATAATTAGATACAATGTAAAAAAAAAATTAAAAAAAATCTCTTCAGTTTGGATGCTTAGTTCAATGACAAAAATTTGAGTTTCACATTAAGTTTTGTAAAATGCATTTAGCATCTTTACATGTATCGCACCTCACTCACAGATAATGTCTAAATAAACATTGATATATATACACACATGTACATGTATAGGATACATTGCACACCGTCAATTGTCTTGTCTGAGGAGCAGATATGAAAATTTTGAGTATCATAACACTTCATGAAAAATATGGCAAATCATTTTAAAAAACATAGAATAAAAAAAATCTTGAGCAAAAAGATTTTAATTCTTAGTTCCTTTTCATACAAAAGAATTTAAAGGTTTCGTTCCTTGTCAAGGGATGTATATCATTAGGTAAAATTGTTCATGTTTTAACGCAAAAATGATATTTTTTTTTTCCTGAAAAAAAATTAAGGCATTGAACATTAAGAACTATTCTAATTTCAATTGTCTATTACGAATTTACAAATGATTGATTTTGAAGAAAAAAAATACAGTACCTTTCAGATGCTGAATGTTGGAACCCTTATTCACTTAATGTCGGTCAACTCCTTAAACTGGGGATGGTCTTGGTAATTGTTCTATATAAGGACCGTTGATAACCCCAATGACGCACATGGTGTTACATTTCTGATACTGGGCTCCTGTTAGAAAATTATAAAATGTAATCACTAAAACGCAGTATCAAACATTGAAAATAAGATACTGATAAACAAAAGCTGCATCGCTGCATAATCTGAATAAAACTTGATGATACATATAGACCTTAACTTTTTATAAAACAAATAGTCGCTTTGTTTACGTAATACAATTTTAAAAGTATATAACATATATAGTCTAAGGAACGTTCCCGTACCAACTTCAATGCTATTGCGAATGAAACTAAACGAAGCGAACGATGGATGCGTGGCATACATGGAGCTACTAGTATGGCGAGCGCAAAACGAGCGGAGTTCGAAAGGAAACAGAAAGCAAAGGGTGAACTCATAGTAAGTGTAGTACCAATCTATTTCCTGCATTCTAATCGTAAATCTATAAGAAAAAGGGTTACAACACACTTCGCAGTCTAGAATGATATATTTTTAGTATGCCTTCTCCGAATGGACTTTAAAAATAAATCAACCAACGCATCACGCCCCCTTTACACGAAACCCAACTGCAGTGAGCAGTTGTGGTAAGCGGTTGACTGTCGTACATGGAATACATACCTTTTCTTCTATTTTTTTTTTTTTTTTTGAAACATGATTTAGGATTTTGTTTAAACCTGCAATTTTAAAACTTTATCAGAGAAAAAGTCATAATATGTCAGATAATAGGTTAGGGTTTATTGGTAAAAATCAACATTAACCAAAACTTTTCAATTTATGTATTTTTCTGAGGATTCTTTTTCCCTTAGCATGAAAAAAACTATCTGGCTATCAACCCAACTGCCCAAAATTTCTTGACCCCCGCTTTCACTGAAAGTGGGGGTCTAATGCTTCCGTTTGTCAATCTGTCTGTGTGTAACACTTTCGTTTCCGGACGATATCTCAAAAAAAGCATTAAAACTTGCAATGAAATTTATATCACTATTCCCTATGGCCTAAAGAAGACGTCTTTTGATTTTGCGGACAAAGGTCAAGGTCAGAAATTAATATATTACAAAAATGGTTTTCAGATGATAGCTTTAGCTTTCTTTGAGCTTTTTCAATGAAATCTTATATCATAACTCCCAGCGACTTTAAGAAGACCCCTAAAGATTTCGAAGTCAAAAAGTTAAAGGTCAGGGTCAGAAATTCATACATTACAAAATGGTTTCAAGATAATAACTTTAGTTTTCTTTGAGCTTTTTAAATTTTAAATGAAATTTTATATCATAACTTTTAAAGACTTAAAGAAGACCCCTACTGATTTTTAGGTAAAAGGGTCAAGATAAAAAATATATCTTGCATAAAATGGTTTCTTGATAATAACTTTAGTTTTCTTTAAGATTTTGCGAAGAAATTTATATCTGTTCTCAGTATGACTCGATTTTGAGGTCAAAGAACAAGGTCAGAAATTCATATTCATATATTGCATTCATATGTAGTTTTTAGACCCCTGTTGACTTTAAGGCCAAAAGCTGGAAGGTGTCAAGGTCGACTTTTTTCCCCGTTTTCCATCTGCACTTTTTTAGGTTTCCCAACATTTTCTTCTTTTTTTTAAGCGAGGGACTCAATTTCCCTGAATTAGCTTCTTAAATCTAGGACTGCATACAGACCAAGATATTTTTAAAGACGATCGGGTATATGACTATTTATGAAATATTTGTTAGCGATAATTATTTAGACATATCGTTAAGTACATTACAATACTGGTGTGAACGCGAAGCGAACGCTGAAAAGCCATACATCAAGCTCAGCTCAGTAACATTGTCCGTGCTTTTCTTAAGATGAAGATTGTATAAAGATATTTCAGTCCTTGTACACGTGAAAAATTGTGACCCCATGTTGTGGCCCCACTTTAATCCCAAGGACATAGTCTTAATATTGAGAAAAAAAGTAATCACAAAATTTTTTTAAAAAGTAGTTATTTCGATTTTTATGTGGTAAGAACGACTATCTTAAGTCGTAATAACGACTCTCTTTCTTACTTTTTTTTTTATCTTAGTACTATTAATTTAACTCTATAAGGCTTTTTTACAAAAGAATTCCAATTCCAGAATTCAAACATTTTATCATAACAAAAACTAAATGATTCCATTATGTAAGAGTAAATATACATACAGAACCCAGACAGTTTTCTTGTAATCTTTACCGATTCATTTTATTCTATAAAGACATGTCATATGAAATATTCAGTCTAGAAATCTTGTTATTAAATTTCTTGTCGCAGCAGTTTTACAAGACAGTAGTGGTGTATTAATTAGCAAGTATTCCTTTTGATTTATTATATTATTAAAATTGAACTACTGACCTGTGGTGGGAGAATTAAGGTCATGACGTCATTGCTCTAAATATAGAGATCAGAAGATGACCCATATAATCATGAGACAATCGTCACAGATTACAATTCCAGGTGTAAGATAAACTGTCCACGTGTGGAGGAATAAGCGAAGGTAAAACTCACTCTCTTTCTTCCCTTTACAATATTCACAGGTTAATTGGTACATACACTTATAGGCAATATTCACTTGACTGCATACTGTATAGCTTGAGTACCTTACTTTACATTCACCAGTGTTAAGACTGGACAAGGTGGCTTGTTCGTTTAGTCTTTTTCTGTTCAAATTTTTAAACTGGCTGTGTTCGTATGGTTTTTTTCAAACTTTTAAAATGGATGTGTTCGTTAAAGTTTTGATGAAAATTATACGAATATATCTATCGTGGCCGTGTTCGTATAGTTTCTTCTTCTTCTTTTTTTTTTTAAATTAACTTTTCATATTTTTGAAATGACCGTGTTCGTGTATAGTTTCCATGTTTTTTTAAGTTTTGATATGGCTGTGTTTGTATAGTTTTCATCTTTTCAAAACTTTGAAATAGTCGCGTTTATTTCTAAACCATTTTATAGCAAGACAAGTTACATTTGCCGAAATCGCACGAATCTTTTCTTTTATCCATTGGATCCTGTTACAAGCATATTAAATTGTTTCCAGTCAGGAAAGAATTTTTTTTCCATATCTTCATTTTTAGATGAACTGAACTAGATTTAGAGCGTAGATTTTTTAGTAACACGAGAACAAACATTTAAAGCGCAATTTATACATTTTTATGCTCCCGAATGTGGCAAATTGTAATATGATCAATAATTCCTGGACATGCTATTCTAAAATGTGATTATACAAGATTTTCATATTGTTTTGATTGAAATCTAAAGTCATTTTGTATTATAACGTCATCGAATCACTCAGCTGACCAACTGCAATCTGTTATTGTCGGATAATCAACATTTGTCAGTGTATTATCAGTTACTTAAATTTTGAGTATCTTTAGTTTCTTCTCAGGAACGGCTGAAACAATTTCAACCAAGAAGATGGGCAAACAAGGGAAGCGAAATGCCTATATTGCGAAAAAATGAAGGTGAAAAATTAAATCTCAATAATAACAAAATTCTCTTCGATATTTTATCTAACATTAAAATATACTTTATGTAAAATCTCCATAATTTGCAAAAATCTCACAAAGTTTGAAATTATTTGCCTATGAAATAGCATAAACACACTAAAGAGGGCAAAAAGGATCATTTTCTCATACTATGACACAAATTTTCGATATTTTTTTGAAAGTTTATCCTCAAACATACTTTGGTTAACAAAAACATGGATCTAAGACCCACTGTACCTTCAAAATACACTTTCTTGACGCAACATTCGCATCTTTCTGAGAAATACTCAAGTCCATTTAGGCAACAGTCATATCACAAATATGATTTAAATGCCATTATTATACCTCTTATTACTCTATATAAAATTAATACCATAAAACTGTCTATTTCTCCGAGAAGATACTACATGATTATTATTATATATAATAATAATCACTGACTTATATGAAATTCTTGCCCTCCCCCGGCCCATAGGTGAGCTAAGTGGACATATGTATATTGAAAATATATTACTCTATGGACATCTAGCAGATAAACTATAAACATGATTATAATCAGCGATGAGCCGTTTACCAAAATTGAAAATTACAGCGGTCAGGCCCCAAAGTGGGGCGATTAGTCAGATGTTGATTATGCATCACATCTTTGAAATCTTCTTCATCTATACTATATAGCAGAAAACTACTAGTTTAACTAGTTTATGATTAACACTGAGAACTCTTCCAAAATTGTAAAAATTCATGTCCCCCTGGCCCAGGCTGGGTCTAAGTTGGTCATATAATGAAATGTATTATTTTTGGAACTTCTTCTTTACTTACGGGCATCTAGCAGGAAAATGGTTTGCATGATAACAATAGTATTTCACCCTTTAAAATAGCAAAATCCACGGTTCCTCTTTCGTACGTTCATATTGGTCATATATTGATGCATGTAATACGTAGACAAACTGGTTATATGATAACAATGAGTATATACTTACACCTTTATCAAAATCTTAAAATTACTGAATGCGCCCCGCGTGTCTAGTGTCATCATCATTCATCATTATTTATTCCAGTCACTGTCTTGATCAGGCCCCACGGCTGAGTTGGTCATGTACTGAGTGAACATGCATATTTTAAGACAGTGTTACAAAACAGAATGAGACACTCTTTTCGATGCATCATTAATATGAATTCAGTAACCTCATCTAGTAAAGATCCGGATAAATTTATTCCATGGTGTGCGTCTCGTTATTTATGGACCTTTTATAATAACATCCGATGTAAATAATCATCGTGAATTTTTGAGAAGCATAGAAAGTATCTTAAAGTTACTTCGAAATGCAGAACTACATTTTACTTCTGTTAATTTTTGCAATAAGCATTGTTCGCAATTCCTGTGTGCCAAGTGTGAGAGGTAAACAGACTTCCTTTTTGTAACTGTTTAATGAAAAGATGTGTACGCTGCACTTGCATCTAAATTGAAAGTAACTACAGACGCACCGAAACAAGAGAGTACCAACGTTTATCCCTATTTTTTTTGTTATAAAGACACAAGTGCGATTTTGGATAACACAGATTTGATGCGAATGAATAGTTTGTCATCGATTCCATCATCTTTATTTTTTTTATTTTTATCTTTATTTTTTGTCATTAATCAACAATGATTTCGACATACAGTAATTATAATTAATATAATTGTTACCAGGGACCTATACTACTAAGTTAGTATACAGGTTCCTGATTGTTACTACCCCATACATTTAATTTTTTTTACCCAAATACTGTATTTGTAAACACTGCAACTAGGTAAAAATACTGTATATTGCTAATTAAAAAAGCTAAGGAATATTGACAAAAAATCATTATACAATGATAATTTTTATTACTAAATTTCAAATCAACAAATGTGCCACAATATATAGCCTTGAATTTTTTACTCCATCAATATAAAAAATATATATATATTGAACTATTCATGTCTGTTATTGTACTTTGACAAGGATACACTTTTTTTATTGTAGGAAAAATGATAACTTTTCAAAAACACAGAATTTTTGTGTTTTTTGAGCTCACCTGAGCTGAAAGCTCAAGTGAGCTTTTCTGATCACCTGGTGTCTGGCATCCGTCCATTTATCTGTCTGTCCATCTGTAAACGTTTCACATTTTCAACTTCTTCTCAAGAACCACAGGGCCAATTTTAACCAAAGTTGGTACAAAGCATCTCTGGGTGAAAGGGATTCTAAATTGTTAAAATGAAGGGCCAAGTACTCTTCCAAGGGGAGATAATCAAGAAAAGGCAAAAATAGGGTGGGTATTCGGTAATTAAAAAATCTTCTTCTCAAGAACCAGTGGACTATAAAAGCTGAAAATTTATGTGGAAGCATCCTGAGGTAGTATAGATTTTATTTATATAATACAGTCCAACCTCGTTATCTCGAACTCAATGGGACCAACAAAAAACTTCGAGGTATCTGATGATTCGAGATAACGAGGGTAAAATACTTAAAGAATAAGTGGTTGGGACTTCCAACTCACTTCGACATATCCATGGTATTCGAGATATCAGTGTTCGACTGTATATATAATTGTTCAAATCATGGCCCCCTGGAGGTAGGATGGGGCCACAATAGGGAATCAAAGTTTTACATTTGAAATATATAGGAAAAATCTTTAAAAATCTTCTTTTTAAGAACCACTGGGCCAGGAAAGCTGAAACTTATGCAGAAGCATCCAGAGGTAGTGTAGATTCTAAATTGTTTAAATAATGGCCCTTGAGAGTAGGGTGGGGAATCAAAGTTTTACATTGTAATACAGTCAAACCTCGTTATCTCGAACTCGAAGGAACCAAGAAAAAACTTCGAGATATCGAGGGTAAAATACAGTTGAACTTCAGTATCTCAAACACGGATATCTCGAATACCACGGATATGTTGAAGTGATTTTGAAGTCCCAAGCGCTTATTTCTTAAGTATTTTACCCTGGATATCTCGAATCCGTGGATATCTCGAAGTATTTTCTTGGTCCCTTGAAGTTTGAGAAATAGAGGTTTGACTGTGCTTAAAAGAATAAGTTGTTTGGACTTCTAATCACTTTGACATATCCATAGTGTTCGAGATACTGAAGTTCAACTGTATATTGGAAAAAATCTTTAAAAATCTTCTTCACAAAAATCACCAGACCAGAAAAGCTGAAACTTATGTAGAAGCTTTCTGAGAGAGTGTAGATTCTAAATTGTTCAAATCATGACCCCAGGGGTAGGGTGGGACCACAATAGGGAATCAAAGTTTTACATTGAAATGTATAGGAAAAATCTTTAAAAATCTACTAGTACTTCTCATAAACCACTACACAAGAAAAGCTGAAATTTATGTAGAAGCTTCCTGAGAAAGTGTAGATTCTAAATTGTTCAAATCATAACCCCCAGGGGTAGGGTGGGGCCACAATTAGTATTACAAGGGAGGAAATCTGATGAAGAATAGCAGGTCCAACATTACTCAGGTGAGCGTTGTGGCCCATGGGCCTCTTGTTACTCATTTGATTGACAAGATGTAAATGAACAATTTTTTTTATAGCACAGCACATTGTGGTAATACATGATATTGCGAGCTAATTTTAGACTGTACATAATGATCTAGAGACAATAGGTAGTTTAACCATAGCATTAAGATATGAAGTAATGTTTTATTGCCAAGGCCAAAGTTTTTATTTTTTTTTGGTTTACGATTTACTGTCTCAAAAAAATGCATTGGGTGGTCGAAAAATAAAAAATAAAAATAATTTAGGATTCAACAATTTCATTTTAAAATACCAGCAATGTTTATTTTAATGAAAATAATACACGTCAATAGTACTTTTAAGTTTTATTGTCTAGATCACATAACTCTTTTTATTTAATTTTAATTCATTTCTAACTTTAGACTGAATGTCATTTTCATTTTCATTTAGTTCTGATTTTTGTTTATCAATCAGTGCTTGGTTCATGATGTTCAACTTCTTTTTGTGCTCTTCAGTGATATGTGATGTGTTATAAACCTCAGTATCCCCACAAACTAAAAATAAGGATCCAAATTTAAGTTAAACTAGATTGAAGAAAAATACAATTTAACTGTTTAACAATATTGAAAGTAATTGACGTTGAAATAAAGGTTATAATAATTTGATCATGCAGCTATCAAATTTAATGTTCAAATAATTTCTCAATCAAGTCCTTCTTTAAATTTTGTTATGTACCTGCACAGTAGGCAATGCTCATTATTTACTTAGTAATTCAGAGGGCTCTGATCTCAATTGAGTATCAAATTTGCAAAGATTTGTATATTAAAATTACTTCTATAAATTAACAAAATGTTTTATACACATGGCCGTAGGAACCGGGGGGGCACGGGGGGGCCGTGCCCCCCCAATAATTTTGCCGATATGTAGATTACTATAGTAAACATAGATACTATAAGCTTGTGCCCCCTCAATAAAACCGCCTGATGACCTTTTTTTTTTTTTTTTAATGCTTGTCAGAAAATTTTTTGGTAGTGCCCCCTCAATTGTCAACTGAAAAATGTTTGGCTGTGCCCCCCCCCCCCCCCCAACTGAAATTGCTTCCTACGGGCCTGATACACATTTGAATTTATCCAGTGAAATACCAGTCAGCTTTACTTCAACTAAGATGTATCTCTCAACACTAAATTGGCTTCAGTATTATCCATGGATTTATCAGCCTATTTTGGGAAACACCATTTTTGGGGAATTGGGAAAAAATTATCGGCCATTTGATGAAATTGGAAATTTTTTAAAAATGTTGCTTAAATCATGTATTCAGGGGTAATTCATTTAACATTTCAGCATGAACGCTAATTTGGGCAACCAAACGACAATTAAATATGATCCCTCTTCATCATACAATGATACAAGATCAATTATGAATAATAGACTTATAAAGGTAAAATGGACTTCAATGAATATAAAGTATTTATACAACTTAGAGTTAGGGTAGTACATGTACATGTGTGTATGAGATTTCAATTTAGGTCATTATAGTATCTGTTTCTGGAGATTATAAACCTCCTGCAAAAAATTATACTGTTTACACATTTTCTAAAAGTCCTGTTTAAATATATATTAATGCAATGAAAATATATTTTTCTATCTGAAATAATGCCTAAAGTCCTTACCATTCACTCACAGATCAATTGAGTAGGTGGAAATAACTTAATAAATCTATATAATTACACAATATCATCATTTTTAGAAAAACGGAGGAAATTCGGATTAAAAGTTGGCGATGTTTTTTTCAGTGTTTTTAAACATGTGTTATGACTGTAGCTTTGCTAAATGAGTTAAATAGATGAAAATTACAGACAATCTGACAATTTTACTTTTTTCCAGAGATAATTAAAAATAAAAGCATTGTTCACCAATTGGGAAAAATACTGCCAAATTGGAAAAAACTGAACTCATTTTCAATTGGGAATAAGGCCGAATTTCGGCCCATGAGAAGGCACTGATAAATCCCTGTTATCTATAGGTGTATCCGTGTCTGCTAGGTCGATCAGGGTTGGGCATACACTCTCCAATATTACGGTATGAATTTAGCCAATTATGACATCGCAATTAGAGAAAGGGATCATGCATCCAAGATTTTATTCACTTTTTCGCAGAAAAAGTTCTTTAAGTGTGTGTCATTGCTTTCAGTGAGGAATTACCTTGTTACATGACAGAACCGCCATTTTTGGTTTGCACATGTGTTTATTTACGGTCACCTAAATGTTTGTAAAGGTCTCATATATTTATAAGCGCTTATTTGACGAAGATGCATTCTAAAATTTAAAACCCACCAGTTCAGCTGAGAAAAATCCGGAAAAATATGTCGGAAAAAGACATTATTTTTATTTTCATGATTGGTGAAAATTAGGGTCGGCGGAATCGTAAACCAAAAGAAAAAAAAACTTTGGCCCAAGTAGCTGTAATTCTGAAGTTGATCATCATAGAGTCTAAAAGCAGAATGTGGATATTATAACTGACTTTCCTGACATATATAGATTCTGATCTTCAACATAATTTGTCTTAAATTTTGCCCCATATGCTATACTGTTGGATTTCGTTATCTTTCAATAGGACAGCATTAATTTTTTAAGATATTTGAGGATTTGAGATTTTAAGTTAATATACTTGAAGAAAAACTGGTTGGGATGTCCTACTCTCTTCGACATATCCATATGGTATTTGAGAAATCAGTGTTCGAGATACTGAAGTGCAACTATATAATAAATTTGCATCATTCTTTTAGAAAACTAACCTAGTGACAGAAAAATTCTATTTTAGTTAGAACATTGTATCATTTTCATTTGATTACCCGGGTATTAATTTGGTTTGTTTCATCTTCCTTTAGTGTTCGAGCAAAAGTCCCAGCCATCACAGAAAACACCTGTTGAAGGATGTAAATGTGTAGGATACAACTGTGGCTGTTGTCAGCATTTAGAAGTGGATGAGATACACCTTAATGATACAGGTAAATTACAATGACTTTCTGAAGAAGAAGAAGAAAAAAGAAAAAAAAAACAAAAAACAAGAGCCCAAAGTTCATGAAAATTGTGTCTTAAAGTTTGTATGTTTCCACATATTGAAGGAAAAAAACCCACATAAAAATAATCAGCAAGTCCCCTCTTTGGATTGATTCTACAAGCATTCAATTTATTGTCAGTATACACCAATGACTATACATGTATGTGAAAAGGTATATATATTTAATATTATTGTGAAATGGCCTTGACTCTTTTAAAAAAGGTTTTGCTTCAAAACTATGAAATGTGTATTGTAAATGCAATAGGCTACTGTATTGTTTGGTTTTTCGTAGGAATTTTCTTTTGTATGAATTAAGGATGGAACTGTTGATTATTTTTCACCAGACACTATATTATTCAAATATGGAAGGGGAAGGACAAAGCAGGTGAAATGGTATCATTTATTGAAAGGTTTTATATGTTTCCCTAAAGTCAGGAGAAGTATTCTAAGGTAGATGCAATCAGTTTTACTCCTTTTGCATTCATAAGGATGGAAGAATAAGACCTAGACTGTCCCCTTTGTTGTGAAATGAAAATTTTCAAATATTTATCCACTGAAACTATTTTTTTTAAAAAAAGTGTAGGACAGAATTTCTTATGATGTTAGTATTTTTAAAAACAAATTGTAAGCCATAATGACAAATTCTGACAAAAGCACCATGATTTTTATGTTGAGAGATGAAAAGGACATCAAAATTTAGAATAAGCAAGTGTGATGTGAAACCTAGTTCAACGATTGAGACATGAAATAACATATTAAACACCGGGGGGGGGGGGGGGGGGGTTGGTGCTAGTAAATGTTGGAAAATCACCTGTATCTTGCATGAATATGACCAACTTTAGCTTACATAATTTCTTGCATTTTTAAACACATTGAACTCTCTGTTGATAAAATTTAATGATGGCGTTTTGCTTACAGTGTGTATAAATGTGACGTATCTGGACAAGGACTACGGACTGGAGGTCACACTGAGTGTGGACGGACATGTCTACATCAACGCTTCTGTATCAGGTACATACAACAATTATATCGCACAGTTAACAGCCTTATGAATATTCAAATATGTGGTGTGCTGTTGTTAAATTGTTTTCATTTCCATTTTATACTTATTTCCCAGTGGCGGATCCAGAAGTTCATGTGGGGGGGTTTTGAGGCCCGTAGGGCCGAAGGGGGAGGGCATAGGAGGGGGTGTCCCCCTCCCATAGGTGGGGGTTCGGGGGGCCTCCCCCGAGAAATTTTCTTGAAAAATGGCTCCAAATGGTGCATTTTCCAGCATTTTAGATTGAATTAGTTAGTGATTGGTCACTTTTTTTTTCTTCTAGTTTTTCAAGACCGACCTACCCAAATGTTCAAGAATTTGAACAAAAAATTAAAATGTTGGCATTATTTTTAACTTCCATGTAAACATGAAAAATGAGACTTTTCTTTTTTAAAAAAAAAATTAAATGTAAAATCTGATAAAATATCGCCATTTGATAAATAATATCCCATTCTTTATTTTAAAATGCACGTCCAATGTGTCACATGTGAAGCTCTGAGTATAAAAATACAACTGATGTGCAATTTCCCAACACTTAGAAAAATTGGATTTTGTGTAGAAACCCTAATTACTCTTTTCAACTACTTGACTATACTATTCATATAATTTGCAATATAAACAAATAATGATATTTCATATTGAAGAATAAATATAAATTATTTTGGGAAAATTCTGAAATTATTGCTTATTTATGGAGGGGGGGGGGGGGGTAATTATAATTTTTAACATAAATGCACCCTTTAATTATAATTTTTTTTTTAACCCACTTACTAGCCGAATGTTTGAAAAAAGTCTTGAAAGTCTCGAAGGGTCTACATTTTCAGTATAGTTATGTCATGAAAATATTGAATCAGGGACGTTTATACTATAAAATGTACGTCCCTGATTGTATTAATTAATTTTTTTCTAAATAATAATAATCACAGTTTATTCAAGTAGTTCAATAAAGTAACTTTCAATTATCGAAGAAAGAAAATTCATGAAAGAATACGATACCGTAATAACTATGTGCAGTTTTGGTTGTTAGTGCATGACCTTCTGTCATCACTAGCTGCACGGACTATCATGATATCTGTACTGTTGATTACTTGTGTATATATACTGTGTGCGCTCAAGCGGAAAGGGATTTCTTGTGGTGGCTGTATATTTCACCTCTTTACGTCTTTGTGTAAAACAATGGGCTTGGATAGAGTCTCAGTTATGAAAGATATTGTTAAAATGACACTTCTAAAAAATTTTTTTTGGATTGGGCGGGGGGGTTTTCCCGAACCCCCCCAAACCCCCCTGAATCCGCCACTGATTTCCATATATTAGCTTATAATTTACTTCAGTAAATCGCAAACATGGCGCCATATGACAAAGGAAATAGATTTAGAAAATTACAATATTTAATGAATGTTAAGCATGTTAAGTATAAAAACAAGTATTTAACGGTTAATTATTCGGTTCAGCAAATAAATCCCATCACCGATTTTGGAAGCTAGTTGTAGACTTCAAGATATCGAAATTCGTTTCTTCTAAACAAAACTAGTGGTACTTAATTTGAACACGGAGCTCACAAAATGATACCCCCGCTCCCATATGAGTATAATGGCAAAGTCCATGTTTTTCCATGGGAAAGCTCAAATATCTGTCCGATCGAAATATCAAATAGGAGGCGCACAATAGCACTTTGTAATAAAGATTCTGGGAAAGTCTCATCAAATTTTATTCAGTGATACAGAAGGAGTTGCAGATCCCCATATTATAGAAAGAATGGCAGTGTCCATGTTTTTCCATGGGAAACCCAAATACCCCGGTATGTGTTTCATCAAAATGTAAAATAGGAGAAGGACAATGGTACAATTAATGTAATAAAGATTCTGTAAAAGCCTCATTAAATTTAATTCAGTGGTATTGGAGGAGTTGCGGTTAAGAGATGGGCACTAGAATAACTATGTACGTACGGACTCTCCATCACTATATACATGTACATGTACCCCCGTTTTTCAAGCCGAGGGTGGGGGAGGGAGGGGTAATGAATGCTAAATGTAGGATTTCCAATCTTAACCACGAACAAAACATCAACAACCACAGCAACATAAATATCTCTCACCATAATATAAATATAAATTTGATTATACTTTCAAGAATATCCTTCAAAGGAATTTCTATTGATGTCCATTTTGACCTTTAGTGTTTGTGTTTTATGCTACGTTTAGCCCGGAACCCCCCTCCTCTGTGTGCCGCTATACCGGGTCTTAAGGACCTCGCCAGTGTGTGTCTGCAATTTTACAACCTCAGTGTCAGTTCCACGTCCTTTTCTGGTTGTCTCAGGGTCGTGGCGAAGCTGAAGTACGTCACTGTGGATAAGATAGACATTGGCTGCTTTAAGATACCACCTTCTGCCGGGAATCGATGGGATTCTCAACATCCGAGGAGACCCGTTTTTCTTGACAAAACTGGGGGTTTAAAGACATGGGACAATTGGTCAGCTATGAGGAAGTATTTCGAAATAAACAGAAACCAACTTAAACAGATTTAAAAAGTTTAAAAACGTACTTTTATCTCTACACGCGAATTCCATATTTTTCTCACTCGAATAGCAAAAAAGCTTGTAGCTTTTTAATATATAATTATAAACCTGCTTACTAATATTGTTGGTAGCTCTGAATCTCTTACCAATGACTTATACAGTGTACCTAGTTACTTTAAATTTTAATATATAGCATGGAAGGCTAACGTTTCCTTACAGTTGTTACGTTCTATACACAGAGTAATAATAATAGTATTTGTATGTTTAATCAAGAGTAGATTGAAATTTCATTTCATACCATTAAATACCATGTAAAAAAAAAAGAATGGCACTGAAGTATTGCAGGTGAGCTTAAATTACACTTATTGATTTGAGATATAATTGTGTTTTGAAAAGTGATTAGCATTTACCGTCATACTATAACTTTTTAAAATAGATTATATTTTGTTCAACTGAAAATGAAATTCCCTGTAGAATTAGGGTAGATGATTGATCCATTATAAGGGAGAACAAGTTGTATATGTACTTTGAATATTATCCCGTCAGACGGATTTATATACATAAAGATATATATACACTAGCGGCAAAGCCGATTTGTATATGTTTATAATGTTGTTATTATAAATAAAAGCCAAAAATGGTAGGAAATGGAGTGTTTGTATTTGTGATTAACCTATTCCACATTTATCTAATCTCTTGAACTCCTCAACAGGATTATGCAAAACAATACAAAAGGCCCCAGACAGAAAAGAATCTAAGGCTGGTTCATCTGTATAAAAGCTATCAAATGTTCCGGATACTTTGTGCTTTCTCGGCGGAAACTGGGGCTGAGTTCGTTAAATCCTTCAGATGGCGCTGCAGATTTCACTAAAGCGCCCTCTAGACCTTGAAATCGAGGGTCGTCAGTAGTCTTTGCATAAAATGAATGCAGAGGAACAATTTCAGAAAATATTCCATTCTCTTCGTCAAATGTATGAAATACTTGAGTATGTCCACTGGCATCCTTTAGTTTGAATATCACATGACGTTTGTTATTATTTTCATTGTCTTCTAGAGAAGGGAGCTTCAGTGTCTCTATTTCCTCTGTTATTTCCGTTGGTTGTCTCTCTGGAGATTTTACGGACATCCTGCTTGGCATTCTCGTGGGAGATGAAGAAGACTTGGGTTTCGGCTCAATTTCCGGAAGTGTTATTCCAGCTTCTTGAAGTCTTTGTTGACGTCTTTTTTGACGCGTGAGGAACGATTTCTTGTGAAGGTCTAGCAGACGACACGAACGATGTTGTTCCACTTTGATGTGCGAGAGTTTGACATCCAACATCTGTTGCTGTGTAACGTTGTCGTACAACAAGACACGTGATACATTTGTTTTTGGGAGTGCGCTTTTCCTTTTCTTTCCCAAATTTGGCATAATTGTTGGGGGGTTGTGCATATAGTTCAGATTAAATCCTTTTGACTTTGCTTCCTTTCTGTCATCTGTAGAAGTTCCAGCCTGCTGAAGGCGTGGTGACTTTTGCCTCACTGACTCCATCTTCGTTAACCTGAAGAACATATAGAAAAGAGCATAGCAAATGTGCATAAATTGAGCGAACATTCACCCAGCATACCTCTAAATATTTACCTGTCTTTACGTTCGAGATAAGAGAGTGTTCTACTCTAATTTGGCAGGCCTATAAATCATTTATGTGCAAATCTTTCAGATTGTTTGTTAAATGTGCCACTGATGCCCTAATGATACTTGTTTTCTAACCTCCAACTCGTTAATCAAAAACCGGCGGAATTGCACTCAGATGCATATGCACTAATTCACGAACTGTCTATGGTTATCTTATCAAAATTTGCAGACGACAGTCCCCTCTTCCGGCAAGTTACAACAGAGATCACTTGAAGTCTTTTATGTGCTACTTTGCGCTTCGTTATCTTTCAAGTACAATACATGACAAATACTAAAAAGTGACAGAGAGAATTCGGACTGATTTATGATCTCTGCGTTGGTTCTTTGTGTGAATCTCTTCATCTTAAGATTGCGCCAAACTTCAAGCACTTACAGTACACCACACCAGGCTATAGATGTTTTGTGAAAGATAATCTTCAAATAAAATTTGTAAGCATACTTTCAACCTTAACTCGGATATTAATCCTGATCATTGTTTAGAAAGAAAAGGGTTGCTAAATATTTTACATCTGATTGATAAATACATAGAAACAGATAGGTATGTAGGTATGGTACGTCAAATTTAAAAAAAAAGGAGCTAAACATAGTTTCATAGTTGATAAAATACATCTATAGTTTACGAAACGTAAACTATATATAGTTAAGGAGGTTAATCTATATTTCACATTTCTAAACCCTACTTAACGCCTGAATCTGTTTCACAAGTGTAAACTATGACACTGAAAACATTTAATCAGTTGCAATTGCAAAGCATAGTTTATTTGATAAATACGGTTTCCCGATCTGTAACTCTAAACTATAGTAAAGAAAGGTTAATTATAGTTTACGGTTGTAAACTATAATTTACAGATTTTTATGCGTCGAATTAAAAAGAAAAAAATCTGATAAACACAGTTTTACATTTGAGGAACACAGTTTAACGACAGAATATCTAATTTTGTATCGGAGATGCACAACTCTTAACTACACATGTAGTTTACGATCAAAACTATTGTTAACAAAAGTTTTGTTCGTATTCGTAGATACAGTTAATCCTAGTTACAGCATGATAAGATTTCGCTATGCAACGATTATTTTCATTGGTTATAAAAAATATATTACTTGCTGACATTAAAACTTAAGTAATTTTCTAAAATCATTTTAAAGAAAATCTTATAGGAAATGAAAAGAAAAATGCCAGGACAATTATTGATTAAAATTTATTTCTTGTTTAAGAATAACATAGAGGAAAGTGGGGAGGGTTTGTAATCAAATTTTTCTACAAAGAAGTATATCACCGACACTTTCCGACCTTTGATTATCAAGTAAAAAAATAATTCAGCTTATGTGATGTAGAATTTGTTGTTGTTTTTTTTAAATATATAGAACTTACGGCGATGACACATACAGTGTATGTTTGTAGTGCCTCTCGCGATAGGTTCTACAGGTGCTTGGGACCCCCCCCCCCCCCCCGGCTCCGTAGCCCAGGGTTTCTTCGACTTTTTTAAAAAAAGTATATTTTTCTATGATACGTTGAAATAGAATATTTTTCTATGGCACATTAACAAAGTATTCCAAATAAGAAATCCAAAATTTAACCTTAAACTAACCTTTATATATATATATATATATATATATATATATATATATATATATATATATATATATATATATATATATATATATATTGTCAACTGTTAAACTGTGTTTATCTTATTTTTTTTTTTGAATTTGGAGTGCCATAGATAGGATTTTTTGACATACTTGTTTTTTTTTCTATGGAGAACTAAAAAAGAAATACTTAGAAGAAAAAAGAAGAACTTGGAACCAACGAAAGTTTCATTCATGTGTGTGCAAATTGGTACGGTATAGGCCATCTTCGCTAGCCGTGGGTTTCTGATCCGCACCGCCTCTTTAAAAGCGGTGCGGATCAGAAACCCTTGGCTAGCGAAGATGGCCAGGGGAAATGTATAATAGAAACTATATGTAACACTAGAAACGGATACTGTTTGGCAAAATTAATAACTTTAATTTTAAAGTGGATCATTTAATTTGGTAATAATGTTGACATGGAAGAAAAGAATTGACACATAGTGAAATTCATACTGTAAATTCTGAACATACACTTAATATGACGGAACACTTTTGCATATTCATGCCTACATATTGGGTTTACGTTCGAACGAATAAAGTTAGGACCCAACAGCCTCAGCTGGAATCAATTAATAGAAGGTAACACAGCTCTTATTGGGACCAGGGTACACCTAGATTGTACCGATCGCACGAAAATGGGTGGACATCACTTTGGAATTTTAGTATGAAGAAATAGATATCTTATATACACGTGTGAGGTATTCATACATTACACTTAATGAAGCAAAATGAAATCACGATAGCTGTTTTATGTAATCGCAATTATTATCCTGAAACTAATCAATAACTTGATTTAAATTTATACCAGTGCTCGGAGTATGCTTTTGAATGGTGCGTCTCATTACCTCTCCTACAAGCAGAGGCGTCAATCATCTTGGAAAAATAAGATTGAATTGTATGAAGTAATGTTAGGTTTTCAATAAGTGAGCTTTTCAGGTGTCTATATCCGATGAATTCGCTGTAAATTTCCCCTGCCTTGACACAAACAAGAGTTCTTCACGGAGATTAATTTCATCCCAAGATTAAATTATTGATGCCTTGATTGGGTTTGCGAAGTAAAACAGCAATTTTGTCAAGAGAGGACTGTGTCACTGATATATGACCATTGTCAGATGGTGGACAGACGAGCGCCAGAACCCGTGGAATTGTTGACAATGGCTTAGCCACGGTTTAACATTCCCTTGTTGGCCCCTGGTTTCTCCAATAGGGGGTCAGGCAATCGCTATATCATTGTCTTACTTTGAATCGGGTTATTTGAATTGACATGGCGATGTACTTATTTTGATTAATAGATTTTTTTTTTATTTCAATAGCTGTTGTTATTTAGTGAAAAAGAACTCTTTTGCTTTCTGAGTTACTACAGAGCCAAGATGGCATTTGGAAATATGATTGAAAGTACTCTGTCAAGAATTGTCAGGCTTGTGATTAAAAGCAGAGGTTGACAACGAACAGAGTTTGTATTTATTGTTGTTACTACATATGTAGTATTGATCCTTAGCAGAGTTGAAATATAATTACTTTTAGTTAACAAAATAAATTATCAAGGGTTATTAGGAAAGCTTTTCTAATGTTTCGTCGCTCATAATGTATTTTGACAATTTTGATATTTATTTCATGGGAAAAAACTGAAAGAACGAGTCTTTAAATCTTAGTCACTTAATTAGTCTTTTTGTTTTCAGAAATTGACCCCCCAAAAAAGTCAGCTGCTGGAAGCTTATTTTGCGGATATGATTTTTTTTTTTAGCGTAGTGACAAATCATTTTAAAAAAATAATTAAAAAAAAAGTAAAAACACCGATTTTTACTTTATTACGCTGTTAATACCTAGATCGTACAGCTAAAAATTATAAGCAATGTATTATTCTAATAATATTAAATTATAATTTATTCTACAATATAAAAAAAATATTGTTTCACAAGAAAAAGACATGATGTTACTTACATGTATATTTCCGTTTAAAGCCAATTTCAGAACCAGCAATGTCTACATCATGTGGTATTGGAGACAATTATAACAAACCATCACAACAAACCCCACATTTCACCTCCCAGTATCTACCCACAACTGATCTGTTCTAGCTATCTTCTCGCTGTTTTTATCCTTTTAAATTTTTAAAATCCTATTACCACTGTATTGCAATGAGCGGGATGTTTTATATTACGGTGTGACGGGACTTTGCGGGATAATTTGTGTGATCTCGGGATCTACAGAATGTCCACAGCACGTTCTCAATCATACCCGGGATTTAAATTTTTATATACAAATTTATATACATTTATTCTGTGAGCTATTAGTGAACCCTGTTGTTAGATATCCCATTCAAATTCTCTCTGTATATGTTGTAAATAGTTCCGTCAAATTAAGATCTTTATCTCTCTGTGTTGACAAAGCCTCGCTACGTAGCTCTCGATTTAAACTTTGCTTTGTTAATGAGTCGTCATCGTCAGATTAGAAATTACATCTATGGCACGCCAAATTTACAAAAATGAGTAAAACCTAGTTTCACAATTGATAAACTAGGTTTATCGACTGTAAACTATAGTTTACAAATCGTAAACTATAGTTAACGATTCGTTAAGTATAGTTTTCATCTGTAAAACTATATTAAACGGTTGTTAACTATAGTTTACGAATGCTAATCTAAGTTTATCTGTCTGTAATAAGCGTTAACAATAGATTTTGTTGATAAACATAGATTCACGTTTGTAAACTATAGTTTACAATCGTAAACTATAGTTTATAATCGTAAACTATAGTTAACGGTTGTTAATCATAGTTTCACAAATCGTGAAACTATATTTATCAGATCGTTAACTATAGTTAACGGTTTGTAAACTATAGTTTACAAATCGTGAAACTGTATTTATCAGAAAATCTATGTTTTGCAATCGCAAATGATTGTTTTCGGTGTTAAGTATAGTTTACGGTTGTGAAACATAGATTATCGCGTTAACTATGGTTTACAGATGTGAAATATAGATTAACGTTGTTAATTATAGTTTACAATTCGTAAACTATAGTTTACAACCGATAAACCTAGTTTATCGATTGTGAAACTATGATTATCTCATTTTTGTGAATTTGGCGTGCCATATACATCTGTAAGACTGCAATGCCTCATTGAAGAAGCTAATGATTTTTTTCTTTTTTTCCCAAAAGCGATCTAGACGTTAGACAATAATGGTGACTTTGATGGTATTTTTAAAGTTTCATTACTTATTCAAAAAAATTGGTAACGATAGACATTTAAAGTCCAAATAATCGCTGTAATATTGCACTCCATTCTTCAGTGACAATAAAATTTCATAAAAGATTTTTTGTTAATTTTAGGTTAGAAATCAGTCCACATTTCCAGAATGCTTGTATGTTTTTTTTTTTATCTCTTCATGTTTTGTTAGCAAAATTTTAAAAGTATTCCTTGCATGCCTCGTGTAAGAAATTATAGATTACTAATGAGAGTATATTTTTTATGGGACAGAATAACAGGTATAGTTGTATATTGTACAAAACGAACAATAAGTTACAACTTTGATTAACATCAACTATAAAAAAAATTTTCGTCGTCAAGCACTTCGTAACGTTAATAGTTAACGGATTAAACTTTCAAAAGCTAGTCTTGTGTTCGAACGAGAAATAATCGTATGTTTTGATGAGTGCTTACGTTTGTTTTGTTTGTATGTTTTTGTTTTGTTTATTTTTGTTTTGTTTATTTGATTTTGTGTGTTGTATTTTTCAAAATACTTTTAGATCCTGGTTAGGCAATACATGTATGTATAAAGACAAAATTTATAAATGTACCTTTACCATCCTCAGCATATTGATAATGTAATCTTTTGAATACGATTATTATGCATGCTAATGGCCTCTGTAGATTTTTTTCATTTCATTTCAAAAGCACAAACGCAATTTTAAACACAGTAATTTAAACTGTCTTTAAATATGGAGATGTGCAGCATAAATTTTAGATAAATATATTATAAAAAATATATGGATATACTAGAAACAATGAAATAAAACACGTTGCTAGAATTTAAAAAAAAAACTATCAATGACTATAATAAAGACCAACGGATGGTCATGTTCTTCGTATCAAAAATTCATATGACTTCCAACACGTAAATATTGGACACCTCGACTGCAAACATATTCAAGTAGTTCATGTTTCCGATTTTAGTCAAAAAATGAAAGTAAATAGTAATCCATCAGCGGCACTAAAGCTCTAATGTTTAAATGTATTTGAATTCGTTTGTCTACAGCAATAAAAGTTTTTCAAGGGCATGCGAACACAGAACGAATCAAACAGTTAAATAAAATATAGATTTATAGACTCGACTAGTGTTTGACGATTCGAATTAACGCCGACAGATCAACTTAACCGCTGCTCTTGTATAAATTATGGTGGCATATTTTCTACCTCCCCATTGCAAGTTATTTTCTATAGATCATGTCGATATACGAGGAAGTTATATCGACATGCAATATAAATATGTCAACATGTATCATATGAATGGATGGAAATTAAAAAGAAAAAAATCATACAAAAATTGCCCACAAGTGATATTCAACTTACTAATGTTGACTAGCAACTTCTTTGTGTTGACACACAACTTATGGTGACATGCAACTTCTTTGTGTTGACACACAACTTATGGTGACATGCAACTTCTTTGTGTTGACATACAACTTATGGTGACATGCAACTTATTTGTGTTGACATGCAACTTATTTTTGTGGATATGCAACTTATTTACATTTCATAAGTAAGTTGTTTGTCAAGAGAACATTTGCGTGTTTACATAAATAAGTTGCGTGTCGATCTAAATAATTTTCATGTTTTTTGCATGTCAACATAAATAAGATGTATGTCAACATATTTATTTTTTTTTTTTTACAATTGAACTATGACGACTTATTATATACTGTATGGTTCCTCATGTACCACTGATTGCTTGTGTAAGTGCAATAAATGAAGTTGAACTTAAATAAGTTGCATGTGAACATAGATATGTAGCATGTCCACTTAGTAAGTTGCACCTCGCTTGTTGTTGTTGCACGTTTGCATATTTATGTTGCAAGTTGCCATAATTATTTTGCATATTGACATAATCTTTAAAACCAATAGCTTGCAAGTAGTGGGTAGAAATATGCCACCATATTATATATGTATCAAACAAGGAATCAAGTATATGTGTAATCATTACTAATGATACTGCACTTATTCTTTTTACCTGAAGAGTATCTCTACAACCCCTGTATTTAATTAGGAGTACACTATGTCTATGCTGGGATCATACATAGATAAAATTCATGAAAAGTATCTCTACAACCCTGTGTTTAATTAGGAGTACACTATGTCAATGCTGGGGTCATACATAGAATTCATGAAGAGTATCAAACATAGTAAAATTTGTCTAATCTGTCCGTCCATGGGAATTTTTTTTGGTTGTTGAAATAAACAGACTAGAGAAATTATTTCCATGATTCATAATATAATTTATTTTGTTCTGTGAATATATTACGATCCTAATAATCTTACATTTGTAGAAAAATAAATTTTCTTTTTCTCTTTTTTTTTAAAAGAAAAAATGAAGCTATTACAAAACTGTATTTTAATACACCTCTGTATATACCCTTTATTTTGGAACATTAATTAGTACACACATTTTGTTAAGGAAATGACATACATGTACAGTATATGTATCACATGTTTAGACCAAGTATATGTTCACTTACATGGCCTCTCTTTCACCTTTACATTCCCATTTAACGAAAAGTAGAAAGTGCTGGTTTGGTTTTTACATGTACATGTATCTCCTATCAAATGATGACAGTACATATTTTCAAAAGATGAAATCACCAATTCAAAAGCTAATCTTGAGATATCACTAATTCAAATAGAGGATATCATCTACTTGAATATGAGGAAGTAATTTCTAGGTCACCTGAGTCACTCAGTTGACCTATTGCTTAAATTCTATTTTCCTCTGTTGTTGTTGCATAGTCTTGCGTTAACATTTGAACATTTTCAGCTTCTCTGGAACCGCTGAACTAATTTCAACTATGTTGGCATATAGCATCTATGGGTGAATGGGAACAAAAATTGTGAATTTCATGGTCCCTGCCCCCCTGGGGTCTGAGGGGTGGGGTTAAAACTATGTAAATTAATGCAATTCTTAAAAATCTTCTTTACTCCTGGACATCAAGCAGTCAAACTGTTGGCATGATTGTAATAAGCATTGAGTCCTATACAAAAATTGCGAAATCTATGGCTCTATTGGTCATATAGTGAAAATGCATTAATTCTTTAAAAATCTTCTTCTCTAGTAAGAAACTTTTAGTTAGGGTAGTAAGCAGACAAACTAAGTACATGGTTATGATGAACATAATTGCTTCTTCCAACTTTGTGAAATTCATGGCCCCTGAGTCAGGGGTTCTTGAGTTAGGGCGAGGTTCCATTGATCATATAGTGCAAGTGCATTTTTCTCTGCTCCTGCATGGGTATTAATCAGACAAATTAAGTGCATAGTTATGATTAGCAAGGGCGCCTCTTCTAAAATTCATTGCCCCTGAGACAGAGGTTCTGGAGTTACGTCTGGGCTCTGTTATGATCATGTATCAAGAGAGGTCATTCCCCTTTGTTATTCTCTTATGATAAGTAAATCAATGTAAATAATGTCATTGATAGGTAAATTGAATAAAAGAATTATACACGAATTTTTAATTTATAATATGAAAAGTACTTGTACCTTCATAGTTTTTTAATAGTCAGCTAGACCTGTAAATAATAGATGAATAAAATGAGACAAAAATAGCTTATATATGTACATTAAATATTATTCAAAGAACAGGATAGGTCAATATGGTGTGGGGATCGTGCTGGATGTACTTTGTGAATATTTTCTTTTATACTTTAGCATTATTGTCTTGTTATAGTTGGTAATAATGAAAGAGTGTAGATAGAACTGGCATGTACAGGCAAGTTTCTGAGTTGTTGCTGATTTTAAGACTAACTATTCTGTTGATCCCCGATCATCCCTTTTTTCTTGTCATAGACTTTCAGTTCATTTATTATTATTTACTATACTATGGACCCTTTACAGGGATGTATTATATTCAGGTGACCGTTTAAGGCCCTTTGGCCTCTTGTTTAAAATTAAAAAAGCGTAAGATGAATTATCAACAGCAACAAACAAATCACATTAAATCTAAATGAGGGTTGATTATTTTGCCATCTTAGTTTACTCTTACGTTTACAAACGATGAAAGTTCCACATACAGTTGCTAAGAAGTCACGCCATAACACTTTGAGATATACATTATCTTCAAACCTATCACTTTTCATTTTTTTCAAACACTTGCGTACAAATTAAGGTTTTCAACAAACCATTTTCTGTTTACATTTTAACCGAAATAGTCTACTTAACATCTTTGTCCACCAGATTTGTGATTAAGGAGTTGTGTGCATTATGTTGGGTATTCAATATTTCCACTGGGGTGCATTGTTGTGGATTTAAAATGCATGAATTTATTAGCACTTGATAGAAGAAAGAGTCAATATTGACGCGGGTAGGACGCTTTTAGCAGAGGAGGAATTCTAAGAGGGGGTAGATCAAGAAATGAAAAGCATTGTTTAGATGAAATGAAAACCACAGTTCTTGCTGTTGGCTGCATTCTGAAAGGCATACTATTAATGTACTTGAATGAGACTTGGAAGAAAAATTCGAACCATATGCAAAATTGATCGAAATAACTGTGCATCTATATTCAGTTTTAATTTTTCTCTTTTCACAGTCCTCTCTGATTTTCTCAAATAAATGAATGCATGTCAGTTCATTCATGGATTGGAGGACATTTTAAATGATACACTGTCGTCGATTAAAACTTTTTTTTAAATATAGGTAGGTGCGCACCTGTAACAATCCTTAGCAATTTCCTTGAATACTATCGTACCGGAATTTTCGAAGAAAGCAGGAATTGGCTTAACTTGTCTGCTTTTATATCTTCTCTAAATCGTTAAGTGTTTATGAATAAACATTTAAGTATTTACCTATATGAAACATTTGTATTCATCTTAATGTCGATACGTATATAAATGACTGATCCCA